TAAAGTTTTATAGTAATAGTAGTTATTATAAGGCAAGGGTGCTTAAACTAGGAGTACTAATATATTATTAAGTAGGTATTATTATTTTTAGTATTATTAAGGCGGGTACTACTAGGGCGGGTGCTACTAAAATAGGTATTATTAAAATAAGTACTACTAGGGCGGGTATTACTAAAAAATAGCTTTAATTTAAGGGGGAATATACATGGTAATTTAGTATATAAATACTTAGGGGGGCGGTGCCTACCATGTGTTTAAAGGGTAGGGGGGCTACTATACTTATTAAATTATTATAGCTTTAAGGTTTAGTTATAATGCTTTAATAGCTTTTATAATTTTTTAAAAATTATTTTAGGTGGGGCTTAAGTGCCTTTTTTACTAGCTTATAATTTTATTAAATAAAACTAGGGGTTTTTTAGCCGCTAGAATACTAGCTATATATTTAAAAGTATTTAAAATATAGCCTTTTTTTTTTAGCTTTTTTTTTTTAGGAATATAATAACCTTTTTATTAACCTTAAGGTATAGTTCTTTTACTACTAGGGTATTTAGCATGTGCTTTTTAATTACTTTATACTTAAGCTAGTAATAACTCCCTACCTTTAGCCTAAATTTTTTAAGAACTTATTAAGTTAGGTTACTTAGGAGGCCTTGGGTTAACTAAATATATTAAGTATAATTATTTAATTTATTAATTTATATAACTTAGGCTAAAATTATATTATATTTTATAATATAATTATAAAAGTTATTAGTCCACGTGCGTGGCTAGTTTTTAAATTTCTTAAAATACTAGTATAATTACTTAATTTAGTATTAGTTAAGGCATTAGTATTTATTTAATATAGTAATTTTTAAAACCTTTTAGTCTTATTTAGCGTACCCTTTTAGATTCCTAATAATATTTAAAATATTATAACTATAATAGCCTGCTACTTAGGTAACTTTCCCTAATTTATTATAAATATTTTAGTTTTTATAGGCTTACTTATATACTTTTAAAAACCTAGTTATATTTTTATTATTAAATATAAGCATGCCTAAAATACCGGGAATTAGTATAAGGGTAATTAATAAAGGGTAATACTTTTTTTTACCATGCCTTTTATATTTTTAAAGGCGCTAGTATTACTACCGCGGGAGTTATTAAAGGGCATGTAAATTTTATTAATAATACTACCAGGCTTACCTTTAATTATAGGAAATATATTACTAAAATTCTTAATTATAGGCATGGGTATTTATTTAATATTTTTACCCCCTTTTTTACTTAAAAACTTAAATACATGGGATATTTTTACTTAATAATAAAAGTTAGCAAGTAAGTAGTAGGCTTGTATATATTAAAGGTTTTAAATAATTTTTTAAAAGGCTAGGTTCGCGAATGCTTAGTAAAAAATAAAATTTTATAATTATAAAAAAAAACTTATAAAATATTTTTACTTTATTATTAGGCACTTAATATAACTACCTAGGTGGGCCCTTGGGAGCTTTACTTTAAATTTACTAGCTATATTTATATTAAATTTATTAATTTTACTATTTAATTTATTATGTTTATTAGGTAATTAGTATTTCTTAAGATTACTAAATTTATTATTTTTTTTAAAAATTACCAGGGTGCTTTATGCGTGGCCCACTTGCCTTACTTACTAAGTTTAATTTATACTTACTATTTAATTTTTTTTAACCTTTAGGCCTTAATAGTTTTTTGCCCCTTTTTTTAATAATTTTAGGTGCCTAAGTTACTAAGGTATAGCTACTAGTATTAAAAACTTTTAATTTAAGGGTTTAGCGGGCGCCCTTTTTATCTTTATAATATTAAAAAAATATGCCCTGCGTTGGTTACTAATATATAAAGGGATAATATTAAAGTATAAAAGTTAAAAAAGTTAAATAATAGCAGAAACCTAAAATTAAATAGTACATAATATAGGTAGGAGTAATAGTAAAAAAAAAAATATATATATTAGGGTAAATAATAAACTAGGTATAAAAGGCCGGTAGCAAGGCTATAAGTACTATAGGAATTGATGTTGGGGTGCAACCCCACTACAATATATTATAAAAAATTATTACACTTTAAAAGCACTATCTCCCGCCCGTGAAAAAAAAGCCTTTAATAAAATAGTATATAAAAATATTAAAAAAAACTATTAAAATTTCTTGTATTTATATAATACTAGCCTACTAGTAAAAATTTTTATTATTATTTTTATATTAGTTTTACTAGCAATAGCACCTTTTTAAAAGCCATAAATTTTTTTAAATTAACCCTTATACCATGGTATAAAACCTAGCAAAGGTATAAGGCCTGCTAGCTAAAAAAAAATAAAGGTATTAAAAAAAAAGAACTCTGCCTGTAATTTATTTTACCATAAAGTTATAAAAGCATGTATTAAAAAGGTTAGCTAGTAAAATAAGCAAGTAGTAAAAAAGGTAAAAAAGGTAATAAAAGTAAAAATAATAAAAAAAACACTAGCAGCCGCAAATAGTGTTATTATTATTAAAAATTTATTAAATATTAAGTTAATAGCTAAAAATAATATTAAAAATTAAGGCCGTGGAAAAGGCTATAAAAAAGGGTGTACTAAAGTACTTATAATAATTTTTAAGTTATTTTTAAAAAGTTTTAGCCTAAATTAAAAAAGGAAATTAAATCTGGCCATATTTTATTATATTTTTAAGAAATTTAAAGTTATTTTTAAAGCAAGTAATTAAAAAAATTAATTACTATAGTAAAAAAAGCATGTTATAAATATATATTTTAGTTTTTTAAAAGTATATTAATTTATATATAATTTTTTATATAAAACTAAGTACCCGCGCGTTAAAAACCTTTTTACTTTTTTTTTTATATAAATAAACTTTTAAATAGCTTTAAAATTAATTTACTTTTAGATACTTTTATTTATATATAATTTTTTATAAAAAACTATGTACCAGCGCGTTAAGGGCCTTTTATTAAATATTTTAATAAGGCTAAGGGGGGGGGTATACGTAGTTATTAGGCGCTTTTTTAATTAAAACATTTCTTAATATAGCTTTGCTTACGTTAGGCGCGGCCCGGGGGGGTACACCTAGTCATCTGGGGGGTGTACGTAGTGCGACCCGTCACCGAGATAGCGGAGCTTACACAAATCCATTTGCATAGACAATTCATTCGCCTCACCCGCCCCTCTGTGAAATTTTGTATTGGGAAAACGCCCATCCACCGTGCAAACCGATCTAGAACCCAAGTGGTCCAGCTTCACTCCGTTTGTAATACCGGTATGCGGTATCATGCCTTGCTCTACCTGAGCATATGGTACCATGCATAAAGTGCAGGTGCGCGACAGCAGCGGATCCGAAGTCAGCCCAATCCATTCTGCTGGGCACATTGTAAGTAATTGGACAGAGGGGTCAAAGAGCCTTGTCCTACCCAATGGACTACCATCTGATGAGGTGATACATCGAGGTTCATGGATGGGCACGGTCAATGTAACCATCATGCTCGCTGGGGCATATTCCAAGTGATGTGGCGTGTATGCAGTTCTTCAATTATAGTTCCAGCTAAACCGAGAACAAACACCCTCTAGTGGCCAGCAAGATGATTCGCGGCTTCTATTGCCCACGTTGCACTTGGCCTCTTGTTGGTAAAATCTCCCGGCGGGAAGGCTCAGTGGTTGGCGTAAGGGAGGGTTTGCCGCGATGCCGATTGCTTCAATGTAGTTTCAAGCGCGGACGAGCAAGGCACTCTTGAATTACCCTCCTAGTACATGGGCTGCGATCCTGGACTGTGGATGCCTGCATTGGACTTGTAGGTTGTAGAGAGTTGGGCGCTGTCGAGAGTTAGGGTTTGGTGGCCAAGAGCCCTACCCGATGGGCATCTGGAGGGCATACCTAGACCCTTGGTCGCTTACGACCTTTCTTCTGGAGGAGATAGGCTGGGAAATAGTAACGACTCAGACCTCACTGGAGAATAGAGATCTGGTTGAACACAAATATTCATTTTCATTTAGCCCTACACAACAGACCTCGTTGGCTTCGGGTTGTCGCAGATCGCAGAAGAGAAGTTCGCCCCTTGGCTGGGGATACAAGTAAAATAACACGGAACAGATATTCGAGCCTATTAAACTAGATACGGAGTAGGGCTCTGAGTAAGGAATAGTGCATTGTTTTATTTAATTCGCCAACGCCGTTGTCTACTGGTGTTCTGCATTGGTGCCGCAAGAGATTGGACGATGCCTTCTCCTTTCCACACCGAGGCAAGGAACGGCCATGGCCTATTCAATCGTACTTCTGATGTTGTACAAATAAGGTTATGGACATGCATGCCGCTGTAACACTGCACGGTCAGCTCGGTTCGTCTCATCCACACATATCGCCGAGTCAGTGTTGTACAGCAGCGCTACCAACGATTGGGCAGCCAAGGTGTAACCAGAATGCGCTCAGGCCAGCGGTGGGTGAGGTGTGCGGCTGAGCAACAGGTAGGTCTGTGCAGGAGATCCGAGTAAGATGGGCTAGTGAAGTCCGTGCTTTTCAGGGATCGCATATGCATGTTACCGGGGCCGTCGCCGAGTCAGACAAGGGCTTGAAAGAGGCTAGCTATGCGGAAATCTGTTGGACACCCCTGAGATAATCGATGCACGAGGCCAGTTGGAAGCGGAATTGAACCTACTAAGTGCTTCCAGTGATTCCGCCGGTCAATGGGCTATACATATTTAGTGTGATAGGCTTATGCGTTGACTGACACTGGTCTAACTCTCTGATACACTGGGCTTTGTCTGGTATAATAATCATCATGGCATTGTGAATACATACATTGAATAACTAGTCAGTCCACCAACAAAGATAAGCCAGTTTTCGTACAATCAATTAACAAAAGCAAAAGGGTACAACATTGTCAATCAATATATAACAACACGAAACCCGCACATTCACAGTTAACCCGATCGAGGGGCTTTATATAAGGGAGAAACAACACGGCGAAAGAGCCAACATAGAAGCAAGGACTCGCCCTTACAAACAATCCTCAGGATAGTACCATTGCCACATATCCAGGCCAGTCCAGGGATCAAAGAAGTCGTAATTACCGCCCGACTTGCCCGGGATGGGCACCACATCCACCCAGATCCGACCCTCCTTGGTCACCCCCGTCTTGACCACCTTGCCGACACCAAGATAGACGTCCGTAACAGGAGCGTTGGGCGGGCAGTATCGTCCAGGATACTCGGAGCCAATCTCTGGCCTGCGGCGGATGGCGGGGAGGTTGCACCAGCGAGCAGGCAGCAATCGACGCTGGCTCGGTGGATAGGCAACCCCAGGAACTGGATTGCTGGGCACCTCATCCATATACTCCCTAGTCACCGGGTGGATAAAGTCGTAATCCCCTCCAGACTTGCCAGTAGGCTCAACGTAGACCCATTGGAAAGTAGGCTCATCCTCCAAATCATAAGCCAGCCCGTAGGCAACAACCCTGCCGACCCCAGCAAACCACTGCCCATCTGGCCGAATGTAAGCGCCAGAACATTCGTCGCCCAACCGCACCTCGTTGTCAGGGAGACCAGGCCCGCCACCCGTCCCCGTAGGCCAGTAGGTGTTGACCTTCCAGTAGCCGGGCTTCTTTTTACTTCGCACCTGCGTCTCTGCGCTTCCGGAGTATGCGGATCGCGGGTGTGACTCCGGCCGCATGTCGTTGAGCGCATAGAACTCCCAGAAGGCCCAGCCGCCCCGCATCGGTTCCACGAAGTACTCGTTGAGGAACTTGCCCTCTGCATCGAGCCAGGGCTGGACAATGCGTCCAATCCCAAAGTGCCTGATTCGATTAGCAGAGAAGTAGGAGCCATAAGCCACGTCGCCGACTTTCAGGCCTTCGGCTGTTTTGTAGCGGTCCCTGGTCTGGCGCTTGGGGTACTTTTCTTCGCTTTCCTGGTATTGCCGCTCGCGATCAGGGTATTGCTCTTTGGGCATGTCTTCGTCGGTAAATGGATCGAAAAAGGCCCACCTGGTGCCTGGAATGCTGGACACTGGCTTGGACACTGGCTCGGATCTCACGTAGACTCCGCCATCGTGTGTTGTCCCAACCTCCTGCACGCGGCCGAGTCCGAAGTAGCGTTCTCCGTTGGGGGCGTGGTACCAGCCACCATAGATACTGTTGAGTCGAGGGGCTTTAGACCCGGTTCGATTGGCCTTGAGGAGCTCCTCCATGCGCTTGGAGAATGGCATGTTGGTTGGGTGGTGAGAAGGAAAAATGCCAACCCACTTTACACAAGGAAGAATGATTACGGATCCATTTGGAGTTCAGACGAGGAGCGGAACTGGATTTATAGAGTCGCAATCAGACTACTCTATCGTGCCAGTTTTAGATCAAAGAGCAAGCTATCAGTCATGTGAAGAAGGCATCGAGTCCTTGGATTGTCTTTCATGCTAAGTAACAAGTTATTTTTAACAGGGAGGGTACCGGCAATTCTAGTACCATGTAACTTTGCCGCTTCTCGTCTCAGATCTATAAAGACCGCACTCCTTTGACATCTATTTCAATCCCATGTTTCCCGGGCCGCCCTTTTCCTTTATCTCCCGGAACGCCTTCACTTTTTCAGCTCATCGTCTTTTAGTTTGTCCAGTTGCCAGAAGTGGATGATGGCTTGGTATTGACTGCTTTCTGGCAAGTCATTAGTCACCTTCTCCATGTCTTTCATGATCCGTCTCTGTCGCGCCGCTGTTGGTAATCGGGAGCTCTGCTCCAGGCTCGGATGGGCTTCCGAACAGCGCTCCTTATAGGTGCGTATCGCCTTTAGGAAACTTTTGGCGTTGTACTTAGACTCGAGATCTTCGGTGAGATTTGGTAGCGCCTCCCGGATTTGGCCTCTCCAAATCGACATGCAACGCTCAATCGCTGCCGTGTAAATGCCGGGATTTTGCCCCTCCAGCTCGAGCTTCTTGATCAATTTGTTGATGTTGGAAGGGATAGGAGGTTCCTCTGCTCCGGGATTTTCTTCCTGCACCTTTCGGACGCGGTCTAAGAGGTACTTACAGTAACCCCCGACTGTCAGAAGGGATTGGAGCTTGTTGTAGCGGTCACTGTCTGTCATAGGTTCAGGTACTTGACTTGAGGCAACTGTAGGTGCTGCCCCGGCCCTGGCCGTACTAGCTGTGCTCGGTACTTCTGGCATCGATGGAATTTCGGTTTCCTTGTTTGGGCCCTCAGTAGGGGCAAAGGCGGAGTGATGTGCTGTGTGTGCACATTGTGGGCATTTGAAGTGGGTTTTCGGGGTGTATGGTTTTGTTTCGAGTCGTGAATCTTGTGGAGGTCCGTTTTTGTCGCCATCGTGTGCGGGGGACGGTGTAGGTGTGGCTTGCCGTTGGTTGTTGAAGGCCGCACTCGTAGCTTGGGGCATAAAGGGATATGGTGGTTTGTTGTTTGGCGGGGTTGAGAAGGAGTCTTCTTCGTCAGCTCTCTTTCTCTTGCTTCCCCGTGGGCTCGAATCCGGCTTGGGGACTGCTTTAGAAACCATCTCTGGATGTATAAAAACAGACCGAGTTTGTATGTTCGTGGGTAAGGATGTAGTAAGAATGCGGATCGCGAAGTAAGAATAGATAGGTGTAGCGATAGGTGGTGGTGGTGGAGGAAAGGGAGGAGGGTGATGGAGGAGGATGAAGGTAGAAGGAGGCAAAGAAGTGACTGAAAAGATTCTATACTAAGGATGTCTGGTTGTCTGAGGAGTTTGGGAGTTGTTCCTTTGCCCTATTCTTTGTGCAGTAGTTTATTCACTTACCAAGTCACCTGCAGGGTTGTGGTGTTTATCACATTCACGATGTTTACCACATTCACCATGTCTGCAGGCCTCTCCACCCAGCCCTGATATACCATCGGCCAAAACAGCTACAAGAATTGCGCAATCTCTATAATAACAAGATCCAGTGGGACATTTCCAGACCAAGCCCCTGGTCCTTAAAGGTCGCTGAAAGTACACAACAAGACCTAACACATAACAAAGCCCAATAGATATAGGATCACAGGTGGTATATCTAAGCCTGGTGTATAAAGATCCTCTAAGAATAGGAGTTTATACACCAAGTTAACCAAGAAAGAGAAACATAACAATATATAGACAAGAAACCACAGCACCAGAGGATGTATATACAAACAAAACCTGCCCTGTTACTATATCCATAGATATCACAAACAGTTATCACGATGGATAGTACTCGTCCGGCATATCTTTGCCCGTCCAGCGGTCAAAAAAGTCATAACTACCATTAATCTTTCCGGGGATAGGGTTGGAGGGCAACTCGTTCATCCACTCCAGAGTAACTGGGTGGAAGAAGTCGGAGTCGGTCTTGCCAGGAACTGGCTCGACAAAGACATGGGTGAAGTCAAGGAAGACATTTTTCTCCCTTCACAAAAACCTGTTTATATATATATATTTTTCTTTTTGCTATTTTGCAGGAAACAAGGTTGCCTGCCCGCAGGCAACATTTAAATCAAGCTACAATATCCTGGGCACCTGGTTACACCCACGGGTGCAACCGAGAACATCTCCAAAGCAGTCACTCCTCGTTCGGCAAGTACTCATCAGGCATGGTCTTGCCTGTCCATGGGTTAAAAAAGGTGTAATGGCCGCCCCTCTTCCCTGGGATAGGCGCTACATCTACCCAGATTCGACCTTCCTTAGTCACCCCCGTTCTAAGCACCTTGCCTACCCCGAGGTAGACATCTCTTTTAGGCGCATTAGGTGGAAAGTATCGCCCAGAATACTCCTCCCCTATATTAGGTTGCCGGCGAATTGCTGGAAGATTATACCAGCGCGTAGGAAGCTTCCTGCGTACAGAGGGGGCACAGGACTCTCCAGGAATAGGGTTAGATGGTAGCTCGTCCATCCACTCGTACGTCTTAGGGTGGAAAAAATCATAAACCCCGCCGGACTTCCCGGTAATAGGCTCAACAAAGACATACCAACATCTAAAGCCAGCTGCGTAAGGAGTATACCCGACAGCGACAACCGTGCCCACACCCGCGAACCACTGCCCATCAGGTGCGAAGTAAGCACCAGAGTGCTCGGTGCCGAGGCGCGGATACCGCTCGACGACATCGCAATCAGGCATTGGAGGAAGCCTCCCATACCAGTATAGCCAGTCATCCTTCTCCGGGGGATCCTCCCACCGCGGGCGGTCCTTGTTTTTGCGCTGCTGCGTTTCCAAGGAGCCCGAGTAATACGACCGCGGCAAGTCCTCTTCGGCGATATCATCGCCCGTGTCTGATTCCCAGAACGGGAGCCCCCCGCGGACAGACAGAGGCTCGACGGCGTAACTGCGGAGGCTGCCGTCCTCACGGAAGTAGTTCGTGACGACGCGCCCGGGCCCAAAATGGAGTAGGCCCTTCGCGGACGTGTAGAACCCGTACGCCACGTCGCCGGGCTTTTTGCCCGGCTTTGGAGTGGGCATTTTGTGGAAGTCGCGCCCTGGCCGTGGGTGGTCTTCTGCCCGGTCACACTTTTCGTCGTAGTCTTCTGGAAGCTGGTCGGCGGGCATGTCTTCGTCGGTGGCCGGGTCGAAGAAGGTCCATCGTTTGTCGGGCATGTTGGGCACTGGTTCGGATCTCACGTAGAAGCCGCCGTCGTGAGTTAACCCGATCTCCATGACTGTTCCAAGGCCGAAGTAGCGTTTTCCATTGGGAGCATGATACCATCCAGCATACTTTGACCCGACTAGCGGGATTTGGCCGGTTCGGTTGGCCTCGAGGAGAGCCTGCTTGCGTTGGCTGATTGGCATGACAGTTGGAAGAAATAAGGTCTAGTTCAAATGAGGTATTGTGGAAGAAGGATAAGGATGCTAATGTGGTTGGGACGAGCAGGATAAGTACAGCACTTATATCCCTTTATTCCATCTTATTGATACCTCGATGTTCTCACGTTGACGTTTATTTTTACTTTTCCTTTTCTTTGACACATAGAAGGAATTGAAACAGGGCTTCGAAGCCGATTATTCTATTTTATCACACCTCGATATTCTTACACCTACGTTTATTTTTATTTTTATTTTTTTGCCCCTGACACATACTGAAACAGGGCTTCGAAGCCGATTAATTATTCTTGCTCTTTGTCTACCCATTGTTTCTTGCAACAGACACTTTGCCGCCAAATAGGTATTCCAACATGGTCATTCACTCATTATCGCGCCTATCCAACTCCCAAAATAGCATCTATCTCTAGTAACCTCATACAGAAAGCCTGCTTCCCCATACATGTATCATCAATACTCGGTCTATTCCGGGCTTGGTCTCTATTTTTTCTGGTCCTGCTCTCCCAGCCACTGGCTGAGAGCCGGGTAGGCGCGCATGAAGCGCCGATGCTGTTCATCATCTTCCGAATCTCCTTGCACCTTTTCAATGTCAGCGTCAACCCTCGACTTTACTCTTGCCGTTTCTCGAGCCGTTCTTCGTGCCTTCCGCCCCTCCAAGTTGACATGGGCGTAAGCGTTTCGTACAAGGCATGCGCTTAGAGCGGAGCGAACCATTGGAATATCCACAATGTCCTCCTTGAAAACTTTTTCATTTAAATGGTCGTTGCATCGCTTGACGATCTTGGTGCAGTTTGGCTTTTGTTTGGAGCCATTGCTTCGCCTCGCTTCAATTTTAAGTTTTTGGTCCAGCGTCTTGAGTCCAGGGAACTGTTGCGTAGGGTCGGTGCGTGTCGCTAGAAATGCGGCTCTGAGGCAGTTTATCAGATTATAAGCGTAGTCTCCAACTAGTAAATAATGCTCAATCTCTTTCTGTCGTTGCTCGGTCTCTTTCTGTCGTTGCTCGGTCTCTTTCTGTCGTTTCTCAGTCTCTTGTTGCTGTCTTTCACGGAGGACGAGCGCGTCCATCTTGTCGGAATCAAACGTGGGTTGTGTTTCCTTATTGTCCGTTCCATGTCCGACCTTTTCAATCAACGCGTCGTGTGCTTTTTCGATATGGATGGCATCATCTGCATCCCGAAGCATGGAGTAGACTTTTGGCTTTCCCCTTCTTCCTTTTCCACGTCCTTTGCTGACTTTAGTGGTATCTTGTGAGGCACTGAAGGCGGTAAGCAACAATGTAGGCGATGGAGGTTGGCAACTCGAGACCGAGACTGAGTGGTTTGTAGGACCCTTGCTGCTGGATACGGTGGAAGAAGCTTCGTGAGCATGGAAAGTTGACAGGGATCGTATTGGCAGAGATGTAGAAGTCAGATTAGTTGATGTGGATTCGGTGGAGGATCTGGTGCTATACGAAGATTGCGACGCGGTGGTGGAAGAAAGCTGACTAGTTGGGCTGGACGTGGGCTCGTGTGGTGCGGTGAATGGGGACTGCTTTGCCTGTGCAGTCGGCTGATTGAAGCGTTTTCGATTTCGTTTACGGCGTCGAGATGGATTAGAAGAGTGCTGCTGGGCTTTTGCAGGTGGAGAAGACATGCTGAAGGGTTTCTGTCGATGCAGGAAACGTCGACAGTAGATGTTTGATGATTATGCGAGGTCGGGGGATGGTTGTGGGGGAAGGTGGAGTGAAAAAGAAGAAGGCGTTAATATACCTAGATAAAAGTGCGGCGGTGCATGTCATGGGGTTGGCTATCTCATCTTTTGTGCCCTTGCCATCTGCTGTGGCTGTTATTCACGCCGTCTTTATCTCAATCTTGATGCCGCGAGCCTTCTCACCATCAGCCGCGAGGTACCGTCGACCAGGACAACTGCTAGGAGCATGCAGGTACGAGAGTACAGCCATTATGAGTTTGAGCCTTGGTAGGGCCACAAGACCAAACCAACCAGGTCCCTGAAGCTCCTTTGAGGCACGCAACCGGAGCTTGACATACAACGCCTGATATCGCATCCTGGCGGCTCGCCGAGCTATGAACCAAGATGGTTCGAGAGAAAGGCAGCGTATAAGCATGCTAGCAAGTAACCAAGAACGAAAGGTTCAACAGATGGGGGCATGTCTGCGTAGGCGTACGTTTATAGATGGGACGCGGGAGATACCCACCACGGAAGCCAAGTTTCGAATTCTTGGCCCTCCACTTAGCGTGTGCTAGCTGTAAATTAAGCGTATCTTACTCTAAAAAACGACATAAGAAGGTGTAGGTATGTCTGAAATTCAGCCACGTTACATCTAGACTATTGGCTTGGCGGCACTTGGCCATGAGCCAAGAATTCGAAACTTGGCTTCCGTGGTGGGTATACTTGTTACCCCAAAGCGGCTTAGCGCCATAAGGCTGCCGCGGCCCGCGCTTTAGCGGGCCCGATCTGCAGGTGACTGCTTGGAAAGCATCCACCTGTTCCCGAAAAGATGCTGGCTAACTTTAGCTAACAATTCCATTAATAGGACAGGCCCAGAGCTTCGCTCCCCACTCCAATAAGCAAATCACACGCTTGGGTCTCACTAAGGTTTATGCTTTGCATTATTGTTTCTTCAGTTGTTCGACCGGTCTCTTACTTCCTTTACAATCTATGCAAGTAATGCTCGCACGCTTGATCTCAGCTTCGTTGCCCTCATTTACATTGTTTACAATTATCTTATTCGAATATTGCTCGAGCATTCTCCACGGCATACTGCACCCTGGCTAGCATGTAAGGACGATCCACCTGTCGGGGTAACCGTGTTATAAGCGATATTTTCTATCGACCATGTCCATTACATAAAGTAACTACTATAAATTAGGCATGATCCAAAGCCATAAGTATGTAAACTAACTAATAAAGCAAGAGCATAACTTTTAGTACCTCTCTGCATTAGTACCAAGCATATAAAGTACTATAGGCCATGGCCGTAACCGCTGTGCAGTGACTATAAAGACAGGTAGATATTCATTATATGCAGGCCAGAGGATGTAAGTCATTTGGACTTCGAATTCTCCTCCTATGGAAGTGAGCAATAGACTTCCATCGCTATCTATGGCGAACCCATTTGCACTGCCTACAGCTTCACAATCAGGGATACAGTATAAGAATTCAGATAGAACGTAGTCAACAAAGTGAGAGACGACAGACGAGAGTGGATTGATAAAGTTATCTAATAGGAGATGGTACGGACTCCGGCGAGCTCTGCAGGGCGTGCCATCTACGAAGGCCGACTACGGAGGTTGATAGCCTCAAGGGTTTGGATTTGGTCCAGAACAGCGAGAACTGTTCGGCCCCGCCTAGATAAGGAGAATCTGAAGTTGAAATCCAATGAACGCAATTCTTGGTCGGAGTCATGGTTGTGGACTTGTTGATTGGCACCTGGATCGATTGTTACCTGGGAGCGTTGGTGCCTGAACGGGTTGGTGCCTGGTACCGTACCTGGAGACCTGAGAAGTCATGGTAATCGAGAAGTCATGGTATTAGGTATCTGGATGGGATGGTGCCTGGATGGATCGGTGCCTGGATGACTGAATAATGACTCGATGAAGCGGATTACGGCGAGACATAGCTGGCATTAATTTTATTTGTCTTGGCTTACAAAATGATAATGCTCTAGTTCTGGATTCCATTGTTGCTTTGTTGGAGAACAAGCGCTTTAGGGCTTTTCTTCGAAACCGTTGTCACGTGATGAGTCAAGATGACCTTGTGAGATGAAGCGTTTTCGTATCTGCTAAATTAGGTACTGAATGCCAGCCGATGTACCATATTCATCCGATTGATTGACTTGAGCTTCATCTCCGTCCAATAACTTCTAACTGTCCTATGGAATGCATTGAAACCGTCAAACGTTGATGAAGCAGGCTGACAGGGGTATTCTTGACTGAGGTTTCAATTCGAAGAACAAAAGACCCCATGGATCCTGTCAGAACATTCATTCAGTAAAATGTAGTCTGAAATTACTAGGACTACGGATTAGATCACTGAGACCGGGCAAAGGCGCGTTCCATCTTGTACCAAAGAGGAGATGCTTGCGGGGACTAGCAGCTCTTGGCATCACGGACGTTGATTCGTCCGAACTAATGGATCGGAGTGGCATATTCTTATTGGCTTGGCTGAGTACTGGCTCCGCTCCTAGACGGTTATTTATATAGCTCTACCCACGTCCCATTGGAACGGAGTCAGATGCAGAAATGAGGGTATGAGTGAGCACTTGAGATGGCTGTAAGATACGCAAGTAGGTAACCGGTGTCTGGATGAAAGGTTTCTAAAATGGCTAACAAAGCAGGCCCCAATGAACGCCGAACCATCAGCCGCGAGGATCTCGGCTTCTACAACGCCCTCGTCATCGCAGGGGTCTACGAGGTGACGCACAAAGACCTTGGCGTCGAAGACGTCCGGTCATTCATCCAACCCTTGGAACACTGCATCCAGGAACATGCATTTCTGAGCGTCGTTGTCAAAAACAAAAATACCGAGAAGCCGTTCTTTGAGAGAGTTTCAAGTCTAAACCTCAGCAACCACATTGCAATTATTCACGATAAAGATATCACCATCGAAACAGAGAATGAATCCATTGAACAATTTCTTCAGCCAATTCTCGACCGCCCCTGGCCAGCCGACATCCCGCCCTGGCGCATCATGGTCCTTCCTCTCCCGTCGCAAGACGAGCACGCAAAACGCGTCTTTATAGCGTTTTCTTTCTCACATACTCTGGGCGACGGGATGGTTGGACATACCTTTCACCGCACCTTTCTCAACTCCTGGCAGCGCGCGCCTCCTGCGAACGAAATTGGAAATGCCTGTTTGATAGTCCCTTCATCTGAACTGGAACTCCCCTTACCCTTTGACACTCCCAAACGGCTCCCAATCTCATGGACCTACCTCCTTAGCCCGTTGTTAGCAGTCTACCTGCCCAAGTGGATCTGCGGGCTCCTCGGTCTCCGTGCCGCCGTGACCACCGTCAACGCAGGGACGTAGACCGGCTCAGCTATGTTCTTTGACTCCGCCAATCATAAGAGCAGCGGGGTCCGACTCCTGGAAATCGATGCCCCAACCCTTCAAAATGCACTGACGGTATCGCGAGCACATGGGACGAAACTGACGGGACTACTACATCAGATGATCATCCGCGCACTGAGCAAGGCCCTTCCGGACGCGAACATCACGAACTTTGTCTCCGGGACAGCGGTTGATATGCGCAGCTCGATTGGTCTTCCGGGGTCATCTTGGGGCCTGTATGTTACCGGGCACTACGAGGTCCATCCCCGACATCATCCATCCGCCCCAGGGAAAGAGTCTGCATCTGGGCCCGCGTTTTCGGACGGAACCTGGGCATCGGCCGCTGCGATAACGGGGAGCCTTGCATCATGTGCGACGCGCCTGCATGACCAAGCGATTGGACTTCTGCGGTACGTGCCGAGCATTAGGGCCTGGACGGCCGGGAAGATCGGGCAGCAGCGAGACTGTTCGTACGAGGTGAGCAATTTGCTTGCGTTTGATGGTGGTCTTGTGGCTGGGGTAGATGCGAAATGTAAGATCACGAAGATGGTTTTTGCGACGCCCGCGAATGTGGTTAGTGGGCCGTTGGTATTTAATGTTGTTAGTGTGACGGGAGGGAGTTTGGTTATTGCTGTGAATTGGCAGATTGGAGCTTTAGGCTTGCCGGTTGAGAAGGAGAGAGCGTTTGTTGATGAAGTTTGTGAGTTTATCAAGGCAGATTTTGGAAGGTTGAGAATGGAGGTAATATGATGTAGCGTTGATGGGGAGGAGTCGGCGGAGTTAGGGCTAGAGTGACACTTGGCTTGATACCACAGCTGTAATGTATAATCAATCCTAACAACAACGCAAATCGCTTGACCATCCAATAATTCTGCAAGCCAATGCAATATTATCCAACGACATATTCATCTCAACCTTCTTTCGTCCAACTTGCCTGTCATCCGAGGTCCCACCACCTGCGGCTGAAGTGGAGATGCCCCCTACCTTCCTAGGTAGAAACTAGAAACCTAACCCCAAGCACGCTCACAGACTGTACAATTCCAAGCAAAACAAACAATCCATAATCAATCCCAACTAAAAAAGACCCACTCCGAAAGCTAACCATAGCCGCCCTAAACCTAAGGCAACGATATCATCCCAACAAACTGCTCCGCCCCCTCAACCGGACACAGCCAGCTCACCCGCTCACCAACATACAGCTCCGCCTTGGGCTGCAGCTGATTGAACATCTCCAGGTCATCGAAAATACCCGCACGCACAATCGTCACCTGCCCGAGACTTCCGTCGGCGTTGATGCGCGTGCCGTACAGGGGTGTGCCTGAGCCTAGTATTAGCAACAGATACATACAACCTTAGTAGACTTGGAGAGAAAGGTTTGGCTGGAGGCAAGACACACCACACTCATCGCAAAAATGATTCTTAATCGTGTTCCCGCTGTCCGCGCTCTTCTGGATCACTTTCGGTGTGCCGGTGACCTTGATATCGTCGTTTTTGAACACGAAGCTGTACGTGAATAGCGAGCCGCTATTCTTGCGGCAGTCGCTGCAGTAGCAGATGCCCTGTCATCGTTAGTCGCGGGCTATAAGACTATATAGTGGGGCTTGAATTGTTGAAGGGTATACTGACAGATGTGATGGGGGCGGTTGTGAATTCAAGCTTGACCTTGCCGCAGAAGCAGCTGCCGACGGCCATTGTGTTAGGGATTGTTGAAGACGGGATAGAGATGACTTAAAACTTGAGAGATGGGGATGTAGAGGGTAATAATATCAGCTGGGTGGTATCAACCATATATAAGGAATCAGCTCGGAGTTCGCGTACTCCGGTCTGTTGAGGCTGATGTGGGGACATCAAAGTAGCTTTGTCAGCGTGTTGGTAGATATTTTTCATTCTGACTAATGCCCCTACTGGTGATGTTGACAATCTTTAATTGCTTGTCTTTGAAATTTTGGTAGTTCTACTCATACGTGAGGGCTCTGGGGCGCAGTTAGGGGTAAAACATGGTACCTAGGTAGGCATGTTAGGTATAAGAACTTGAACAACAAGCTTTACTGCTTAGCACCTGCACCATGCGTTGCATTAATAACAGTGATTGTTGACGAAGTATTGCCCAGATGGTAGTAACACTATACCCTCCATCTCCACCCATCAGCAGCCCTATCCTGCTGCCGCCAAGAGAGCCACCAGGACTTGAAATTTTATAATCATATCATGGACAGCTACATTGTCTCCTGGTTTCAATACCAAAAACGTGCCCGCCCTATAGGTCTCGGCCGTAGACGCTGGCACTTTTCCGACTGGGGTAGGACAGTGCGTTTGTATTCATATCTCAGCCTCCGAGGCAGCGGCGCAGCAATGCCTACTAAAGGACCAGGGCGTTGCTGACAGATGCAGATCCTGCATCTCAGTTTCCACGCTCTATGTCCATCTCACTATGAAGCTCCTTCCTCGTCTTGCGTCTATAGTCCCATGTGTCCTAGGGCTCTCGCTAGCCCTAGGCCAAAGCGACATGACGCCCGCTCCACCTCCATCGTCAACGACAGCCGCCTAAGGTAAGAGAGTCCCAGTTCCAGCCGGACGAGGCCCAATTCAATCTTCTACTGTCGCAGTCGAGGACTAAACGGCCACTCATAAGCACCGGTCGTCAAGAACCAGCACCTGAATGGGACAAAGTTGCAGTGGAACCTTAAGAGTCTAAGCTTACTTAAGGTAAGCATTTCATTGATATTATATTTATTCGTTAGCCAACAGCAATATGTAATTTTATTATCAGAGCCTAACACGGTTCCATATGGTATAACAGGCATGGTTTATTTGATTATCCAAATATTAAGTGTATATCTATATACTGAGGTGTGCCTCGTGTCAGTGGATCGGGTATGTAAGGACGAAAATGAACAATCACCTTGAGAAGACATCATAGACCTGATATAGTGAAGCAGGATTATGCTGAAGGGCAGGCCTTGGCCTGCGGAACACGAATGCTAGGTGTCTACCAAAGTATCTACAATCTATCCAGAAAAGGAGAAATAGGGTTTGAGTCTACCCGATTCGTTCATATCTGCCTTTCTGCCCTCGCGACAGTTGTTGACGATGATTGTTAGTGGTGGAAAAAGCAGGTATCCTCTCCTAGACACGATGTTGGGAGGAACGGAACGAAGCCGGAGGCGATGGCAGAGGCTCACTGGATCCAGTCATACTCCTTAACAAGCGTTGGAGATCATAAGGCCTGTTAGAGTCTCGATCATCGTGTGACCAAGTTTTCGCCACTGGTCTACATAATGGACATTAAGGCGTAAGGATCTGCTTTTTCAGCCAGATGGGCCGGACAGCGACCTGTGCGCCATGTGACAATCTACCTAGTGAGACATCGAACACCTCTATTGGACAATACTTTAACTGCTCTAGGTTAATTAAAGGAGCCTCCTGAAGCCAAGCTGTCAGCAATCTGTCGAGTTTATGACAACGCGTTGAGGATCGACAGGCACACGAGTCATGCGTCGCTCCTGAAAAATCAAAGCCGTTGTCTCAAAACAAGATCCCCGCAAGCAATGGCAAGCTACCCCGAAAGTTTGAAATAAGAGTACCGAACAATCCGGGCACGAGGAGCTCACAAATGTCGGTTGATCGGCTATAGTAGTCTAAGCTGATCATTTTTAACAGTGAGGATCGGATTGAGCTCGGATGCCCATATGACCTAAGCGGACGCATGCAAGACAAAAATTGGTCGTTGCTGGCGTAAGCACGCCCTGGCCTGGCTTGGATGATCATTGACTTTAAGCTCAGCTACCATCAGTTCGTATCTGCCAGGCTTGATGAGCAATGCGATTGTCATGAGGGGTATGTAGACGGTTCGAGAGCTCTGTATGGCCGTTCTATCTTGCCTGTGTACTGGCCAAATAGGTATCTGAATACGAGACACGGAGCAGAAACTCTACGCAACAATAATCCAGCCAGCCATGGACAACAATGGTGGACGACCACGTCGTAGTTAGCCGCACGGACCCACCGTTTGTCCCAGAGCTCTGGGGCTTGTGTGCAGACGATCGCGGGGAGTGTTCTGATGTAATCTTGGTATTGGTTACATTGGTTGCCCAGGTTGGAAGAGGGAGCCTAGCAGAGCAAGTAAGAAAATATACTGGCCATAAACAGATTTGCGTGAAAACAGCAGGTTTCATTGAGGTATCGCTCGCTCGCTAGTCATCGTCTTAGAGTCTCGTACTGGATGGCCTGCCAACCCAGTCGAAGCGCCGAAAGCATTTCATAAGGTACACAAGAGGAGAGTCCAAGACTCCAAGTAGACTGTAGAGCGGAACAACAAGAAATAACAGAAGATCAAGTAAGACTATACAGTCGAAGCATAACAGGACTTTCAAGCAGCGCGGAGCGTTAAAGATAGTACAGAAGGCCAATTCAATGTGGATACAGTGTGGATTCAGTGTGGATTTGAGTAAAGAGTGTAGAGGACCGATAGACCTTGCGCATCCACTGTATTCGGGCATATCGCAAAGGCTAATCAGGTCCGGTCGGTTGGGTTCGTTCGTTCGTTCGTAGTAGCCCTTAGTCGGCGGACGTATACCGTGTCTCGTACTTCACCATGCGCGTTGGTACCAACTATGATCAACGCGTTAGTCAAATTCCAGGTCGACAACGTAAAAAAAGACTCACCTCAAGCGCTGACCAGCCCTGCGCCCAGCAGGAAAGTTGTACTCGTCATCCCAAGACTCCTTGGCAGCCATCAGGGGCCCCCACTCCTCCTTGATAGCGGCGAGGCGCTTCTTGAACTTGGAGAGGGCGGACATGGTGCTGCGGAGACTGCCGAAGCTGCGTTTGGCGCTGAGGGTAGCAGGGGAGCTCATTTTAGTGGGTTGGTTGGTTGGTTGGTAGATGGTGAAGAGTGAGGGTGGTGCGAAGTACGTTGGTAAGACACGACTAGCGTGAATAGAACAGAGCGAGGAAAATGAATGGACAGACTGTCAAAGTCCGGAGTTTTCTTGAGATCGATAGTATGGTAGAATCTTGGTTGATGGCTCTCTGCATCGGCGGTTGGGGCTGGATTTATAGATCATGGCCGTGGTTGGGATCCACAAGAGCTGCACGACCGTTTCCTGCTCGGGCTTTTGTGTTTCGCCATGGACTTGCTGTTCCAACTTGCAGAGCACACGGACTGACTCGAACAAGATTTGCTGGGGTCAAGCACATGGTCGGGATGCCGATGATCCATCAGCTGGCCTGCCGATCACTTCCCAGGCGGTGCAATGTACCATGGATAATCTCCGGCAGTAGAACTCTACCTAAATGGCCCATTGTCGCACCAGTCCCGTCGCATTTGAGTCCTTCATAAGATAAACATACGCCTCAGCAACCTCCTCCACAGCTCCAACCTTCCCAGTAAGTGTATTCTCCCCCAGCACACTCCATTAAATGATCTTCATCCTTATAGGAGCATATCTAGGCAGTCAGAATCACGTGACAGCACCGAGGTCCCCGATTGGGAATCGAGGCGGGGTCCTGCTCTTCCACCTCAACCTCATCAATCTCCATCAAGATGCCCTCCCTACCTCCCGAGCTTATTCTTCTTATTGTAGAAGCCCTGATTCCATCAAGCCCACCCATATTCCCTCCAGGCCACGCGGTCACTCGCACTCTGCTTAGCCTGACCCTCACCTGCAAATTGACACATCGTCTGGCCCAGGAGCTCCTCTTCACCCACTGTCTACACCTAAACTCAGGCAAGAGGATCCACGACGCCGTTAATCAGAGCAGTCTCTGCAAGATCTCCCCCCATGGCTCCAACAAAGTCGAGGCAACCCGCGCCAGATCCCTCTTCCTTGCCTTCCCATCAGCGCCAACCCTCAACCTCAACTCAACAGATACGCAGATAATCCAGCTCTTATCAACCTTTAACACTGAAATCCGCCGTCTGGTTATTGATCTCCCGCTACGAAACCTCATCTATGATAATGCACCCGCTACCTACGATGACTCAAGTCCCCAGCGCGAAATCACCCGTGCAATTTGCCGCCTGAAAGCTGTCGAGGAATTCTGTTGTCAGCGCGATGGTCTCGGCGCTGCCCCCTATAGACAGCCGTGGCTCGATACATACGAAATCCATCTCTGGACGCTAGACTCTGCTCTTCTGTGGTCCCGGCTCCGGCGGCTGGCGCTGTGCAATCCGTCCTTTGACAGCTTGTTCATCTTCTCGCTGCGATTCTGTCGGAACCTCACCCATCTGGCTTTTACATGTCCTGCCACGATAGAAGAGGAGTACGAGGAGTCCCAGCTGAAACTCCTAGACGTTGACGTTGCGCAAACATGGAGTGCTCTGGAGCGCGTGCTCATCATCCAAGGAGACGGACCCCTTGAAACAACAGAGCGTTGGGATTTCTGGGAGAACAGACTGGTCAGACAGCATTCTGGTCGCGGGAACTGGGGGCGCAGCTTTCTGGGGACGTTGATGCTTGCCGTGCAGAATGCCGCGCGGTCGCGTGCCGACTTCCGGCCGGAGCTGGTGTACATTGATGCGCCGAAGACGGCGCAGTTTGACGCGGAGGATTACGCTACGTTTCAGGAGTGGACGGGGGCGCGTGCGCTGGATGGGAGTTTGTGGGAGTATCCCGGGTTGGTCTATGACGTGGATGCTCATGGGGGAGTCGCGGCGGCGATGGTTGCTGGTGCTGGGGGTGGATCCCCAGTATACCAACCCAATGACTGAATATTCTAGTCTGTGTACAGACTAGAATGCCTCTATACCGGCCTTTACTTTGACGGAATCCGACATCCGCCATCTTCTTAACCAGCTTAAAAAGCATTGCATCGCATCCTCTGCGCACAATTGCATCGAGTCGGGGAATATCCTTGTTAGAGAGATGATGGAGAAAGGCGATGGATGCTGAATCTTCGAGCTAAGGCGAGTGCAACTACAACATCATCAATTGACAAATGGCGAAATTCGTTAGTTCGCAATTGAGTACGCCTACCAGGACCTTGTGCTGGGGATTTTGAACCTGGACTCTGGATAGTACCGGCTTTTCAAAGACCAGACGGCGCGGTTCTGCAGCCATCTTTATCTCTTTCGTCTTTCCTGCGTGTTGCAGCCAATCTAGTAGAATGTTGGACTCTGGGTGCAGAGAAAGTGGCTTGAGAGCGAGAAGGTGGTGAAGAGACGACTTGGGTTTGTGAAGGATCCGGAGGCGGGTGAAGTGGAGAGGTTCAGGAAGGAGAATGACGAGAAGTTGGAGCAGGGGTTTTGAGAGAGCTAGGCTACATAACTAGGGCAGGATGGATTGACCAGGGCTGTTAGATTGGGTACCTTCGTTAGGGCATGGAAACATGCCTAGGGAGGTCGGGTGTCTTGCATCGATTCGCCACAACTCTTGGGGAAGCGAGTGGTTTTCTTTTCTGGCAGCTCTAACACCTAGGTGTTTGTTTCCAAGTTTTAAGGTTCTATTAACTACTCCGATAGACTTGGTTTAGAGCAAGGATAGCTCTTTTCTTGATGCTCCGTCATGATGCTCGTATTTCATACTATTAGAACCCCTTGATTCGCGATTACAGCCCTCTATTTACCAAGCAAGCAATGCTTCATGGCTTAGCCAACGACGTAATTGGACGCAATGCAGATTCCAACAAGGAGGTACCGCCAGGGTCTCCCGAGGTCGTCTAGGAACCCCTGCACGGAAAGATCCGCGATCTCGATCTATTTTTACCTTACGCTGAGACTAAAGTCATATGATTGGCAGTGCAAGCTAATAATAAGCACATCAAGACTCCAGCAAGGGCCTTGGGCTGCGAGGTGCCTCTTGGCGATGTCTTACTAGGCCCCAAAGCGGCAAAGTGGACGGCGGCCAGCCCTAACCATTGGCCACCGCGCGCTTTGTCATGCTTACCCCGGCCTCTTGTCTGAGACCTGCTGCCCCGGTTATTGTGGCACGCCTTGATTACTCTGAAGAATGTCATCCCGAGCGCCACCTTACCAAGCTGTAGCGGTGCCTGTGCGTAACTGGCCATACACATCGCCACGCTGGAAGTGGGCTGAGCTGGACGGTGAAGCCGGCGATGACGGCTGAATACGAGGCAACTAAGACATGCTTGAGACATGGGATGCTTCCTGCAGATGCAGTATCACGTAGGTCTGCTCTGTACGACAGTCTTCGGAGAATATAAGAATATAAATACCCCTAGATCTCGAGGACACTCATCATCATCATCGCATCGCATCACACTCACCAAGCATCCGCTCAATCAAACAACCCCCAACCCAACCAACTCTTCACTCACTTTCTCAAGATGAAGACCACCTTCGCTGCCCTCCTCGCCCTCGCCGGCGCTGCCTACGCCGCCCCGGCCGCCAACGCCCCCGTCACCGTCACGGAGCGCGCAACAACCCCCTACCCCTTCAGCATCGACGACATCAAGCTCTACCACCTCAAGGAAAGCAACACCTGGGACCTAACCATCAAAGTCACCGAGCGCGATCCCTACGGCGCAGCTCTGGGCTCAACAACCTGCCACAGCGCATGGTATGCGCCCTTTCTTCCCTTTCAGAACCCTACCTATCTAGATACTAACCCTAATACCGAAAACAGGAACGACGGCGCCACGTACGTCGCGCGCGAGATCTGCGAGGACACGCACTACTTCTTCTGGCTGCCCAATGGCGCCCCGGACCCGGAGCACTGGAGTGTTATTGTTGATGGCCCGGCTGGACAGGCCGAGGGCACGATCGACTTTGGCAACAAGTACAAGTGTGGCCCGTACGAGGGGACGATTGGGAACATTGATCGCGAGTGCACGACCACCAACGGCGGGTGGTTCTTTTTGCATGAGAGGGAGGTTTAGGTTGCTTCTCTTCCATTAAGGGACTTCTTTGCCTGTGGGGACGGGGTCGTTAGGTTGGGTGTGGATGGGTGGAAGATGGCGCTTGAAAGCTGCAAGTTTTGAGAATAGTTGGGATTTGGTTTGGAGGGAATCCATCTCCTTTATCTAGGTTGTCTTTGCTTTTGTGTTTGCATTGCAGGTGGCTGTCGATTGCATCTGTTTCATTTCACGGGGGGTATTTGCGAGAGGTTGTTTGAGCCCTAGCTCGAGACCCTGTTACATTCCTTTATGCAGAAATACATTCCGCTCCTTTGATTTAGTGGCAAGCAACCTATTCTTTTGTTAAATGATGCTCATTCTGGGACTAGCTCCAGAAACCCTCAATGCATGTGGACACCACCTGGGCAGTCATAACCCTGTTTGTATATTTGCTTGTTGCTCTTTCATCTGCATACAACAAATGACCATATGCGCTACGATCTATATCCTGCGTTCATAACATCTGTTGTTGGTATCTGCGACAATTCTTCAAGGTTATTATCAACATGGTACCAAGTTGTATCAATGATGAGAACACGTAGTTGCAGGGCTCTAAGGTAAGGAAGTTCAGGCAGTGAAGAATCACAATTTCCTCTCCCTCCCCACAGCATCCCTAAACCCAAGCACCCTCTTCTCCCCAAGCAACATACTCCCCGGAAACTCACCCGGAAGCCCCTCCCCAACCACCAAACAAGCCAACCCCTGCGCCGTCCTCCAAGCCCTCACCATCCCAATCCCCTGATACGCCCCGCAAACCCACTGGTGAGACCGACCCCTACCGGCCCCCGCCAACCCCCCAACAAACGGATTCCCGTCCAGCGTAAACGCAACCGCCCCGCTCCACGCATGGCTCGTCTCCATCGTCCCGCTTACCCCCTGGAAATCGAAGTCGAAAAGCAGCGGCGTTGTCCCGCGCAGATGCGCGTGCGGGAGGACATCCATTACGCCGTCGTCGCTTGTCGCCCGCCGCCCTGTGTTCGCGCGCCCGATGATGTACGACCCGTCGGGCCGCTGGATCAGGTAATCGTAGTCGTGCTCGGCGTAGCGGAGCCAGAAGGAGTTTTTCCCTGCGTGCGCTGGTGCTTGAGCTTGGGCTTGGGGTTGGGTTTGCGGAGCTGGAGCTGGAGCTGGAATTGGGACTGGGACTGGGACTTGCCGCTGGACATTGGCGCGGACGGGGGAGACAAATGGCCGGAGCTCGGGGAGGAGATGGCCCAGCCAGCAGTTCGTGGCGTGGATGAGGTGCCGGGCGCTGATAGTCCCGCGGGTCGTGTGGACAGTCGCGGAATCGAGATTCTCAGACACAGCCGTGACGGTCGTGTTGGTCTGGATGGAGAGACGGTGGCCCTGCTGTATCATGCGTTCGAACAGCCCCGTCACCATCTTATACGGCCACATGGACGCCGCAGGCATCCCGATTGCGCCGACGACGTGGTCTCCCAGACCACGAGCCTTTAGGTCCTGACGCGATTCGTACACGGTATACCGCGCCGCCAGCTTGCCGTTATACCGTCCCATATCCTTTACCGCGGAGACGGCACGCTCAAAGACCTTTCTATCGTGGTAGACGTCGAGACCCTCCAGGAGCTGCAGGTCGCAGTGCCGCTCGAGGCCATTCTCCTTGATGCAAGACGTCATGCTTTGCAGGTGGCCGTGTTCGAACTCCATGATCTTGAGCGCTTCCTGGACCCCGAACTGCGCCTTCCGTTCGACCCACACGCCAGGGCTCATGGCCTTAATGTGCCCGCCGTTACGTCCCGTCGCGCCAGAGCACAGATCGCGGGCTTCAAGGACAATGATACTTACGTCAGGACACTTCGCGAAGAGACTGCGGCAGAGGCTGACGGAGGTCATTCCGGACCCAATGATCACGATGTCGGCTTGGTCGAGCCATGGAGAGCGGAGCTTGGCCAGAGGGCTTGGGGACGACAGCCAGAAAGGCTGCGTTGGGGTTGGAACTGGGAGACCAGGATCGATGATTCCGGGCTCGTAGATTCCGTCCGGAGAGGTGGACATGTTGGACAGATTGGACTTGCTGAAATGATATAAAGTGAACAATGGGTTGAGATCTTTACTCGGTGCTTGCTCCTATTATATGCATCCAGACAGTATTTAGACATCTACAAGATCAATACACGTTGCTCCCACCATTTCTCACTTAACTTGCCTCTTCTGATCTTGACCTTATCCCATCCACAAGCCAAGGAGACGCTGGATGACCCCAAGCCAAGGCTCAATTTCTCATCTTACTTACCTGATTCGGAATTTGGAGAAGGCTGCAGGTGCCCAAGTGGAGGTGGCTGATCAAGCACCCCGCAGCTGATCCTCGGTCCAAGGCGATAAGGACGAGAACGAATCAATCGATGGAGATCAGTCAAGGTTTATTGGTTATCTCTTCTTTCATTGGCTACATGATGAATATCTGGGCTTCAGCAATGACGCTCGTCCACCGCATCCCAGCCGGATCTTTCCAGATCCTCTCCAGAAGCCGGATCGCTTTGGGAATATTGCCAAACCCATTGATTTGATGGAGATATTGCATGCGGCGTGCAAAGAACGCCCGGTGCTCGACGGTTGTATAGGTGCTCTCGGCGGCGACGATAAATGTGGCCCACACGAGAACATGCTCGCCGGGGCAGCCGATGGGGTATGCCTCGACTGTTTGTCGAAATTGCTCTACGCGCTCAATCGACGATGAGGGATGACTCTGATTACCAAGGGCGCGATGTAGGTAAATGGTGTAGGCCTGTTCGATTTGGCTTCGCACGTTGTGCAGGCTCGGGGCGTGCTCGGGATGCAGAGCCGAACATCGCTGCAGGCATTCGAACCCTGCTTGAGTGCGAGCCCAGACGGTCTCGATGCCGGATTGCTCGCTGAGGAGGGGCTCTGCATAGACGCTGAATCTAGGACGGTTAGGCAGTGCTTTGCATAACATGGAGGTGGACTAATATCAGCAGCATGCGGGACTGACTTTTGAATCTGGCGTAGCAAGAACCGTCCCAGGTCGCCCGTTCCCAAGAGACCGTCTTCACCCATCAACATCACGGCAGACTTGAGCATTCTGAACAGAGGAGGGAAGTCCGCCTCACCGGTCGCCATCGCTGCGACCAGGAGGACAAGGATTGTTAGGACATTGTAGCAGTTGACGAACGGATTGAGAGTGTGCAGATCTCGCCTCCTCTGTAGGCCGCATATAGCCATCACGTATGACTCCTGAGCCACTGGGCGTATACTCGCTGACTTGAGCGATGCGTGGCATGCCGCAGCGGCAAGGACGGCGCTATTGACAACGTCGTCAGCAAGGGATACTGATAGGACAAGATGACGCCACTCGTTGGAGGCGTCGTCAATGGCTAGCATCTGCGGCGCAATGGTACTCGAGACTAAAATAATCATTGAAATGTCAAAACATCGTTTTGTAGTCCCCCTGTGACATTCAAGACGTACAGTAGGAGAGTAGGAATTCTTTCCACGGCGGAATAAGTTCGATGACAGCGAGATTGGTGATGGAGGATTCTGAAGCCTGGCAATGAGGAGTGGCTTCAGGACTTGCGTCCATACAGGCAGCCAGGGTCTTCTCCACACGCTTGCCCCGGGCACCCACGTCGGCCTCGAACCGGTAGCGGAGTCCCAAGCCACTGCATTTCAGGCCTCTGTGTGCACACTTGTGGCAGGTGGGTTGGTTTCTGTCACAGCTGACACGACGCTGGGAGCATTCGTAGCAGCCTGGGGGAGTGAAGTCAAAGTTAGCACATTCGAACAGCAGCCCTGGAGAGAGCAAGGTCCCTGACCTTTGATTTTGGGATATGTTTTGTTCACCATGACTGCCGACGCTGGGAAAAACTCGAAATTGGCAGGCAGGATGGGCGCCTGGTCGTCAAGCCTCCGATAAGGGAAGCCCCCCCCACTTAGTTGGAGTCATCGAGAAAGCCCGACCCTCAAGAAGGATTGGTTGAAGTATCGAGAGAGGCCGGGGCCCATATCCCCGATTCCCCGCTCTTTACATCCATGGATGTACAGCTCCAGAAAACATCCAAGAAAACGATGCCCCAGAGCATCGTTTACAAGTCCTCCAAGAGAACGTTCAAGGCGTGTCGCACATGTCGACTGCAGAAGGCACGATGCATCGTCACTACGCCAAATCCCCCCTGCAGCCGGTGTCGGGCGACCGGCAGAGACTGTGTCTTTGAGGAAATAGGCAGCACCAACGCCAGGAAAAGAGGTCCAGATCCAGAGCACAATAAGGATGACAGGGAGGACAGAGGCAGGTATGCTTCTACTGTGCCCAAGGCTGTTTCTCAACTACCCAACAACGCTGAACCTGGCATATATTAGGCTAGAGCGGCTGGAGAAGCAATTTGAGGAAATGAGAGATTCGATACAAGAAATACAACAAACCAGGACTGTTGATCCTGTCTATCGTGCAACGCCCACAAGCCTACCGATGTCACCTCATCTTTCTGGCAGTCCATCACTCGTCACCGGTAACTTGCATGAGATGCCGCTGGACGCGCCCATTACTGCTGTCCAGGAAATGACATCGGCAATCCCATTGCCTACTCAGGCAACAGACAGAGCACGGGCGCAGATCTTTACCCTGCAGTGATGGGACGAATATGTCCCAAGACGTCATCTCGAAAGGCATCATTGAGGAGCCCCATGCTCGCACTATGTTCCAGCTGTATGTCCGCGCCTCTATCTGTTAAATCTAACCTGGGCTGACCGTAACGCAAGGTACATGGCCAACGCAAATGTGTTTCTCCCTCTGTTTGATCCGATCGTGGAAACATTTGATACCGTCCGGCAACAGTCGCCATTCTGCTTAGCCGTCATTCTGGCCATCGCTCTCAGAACGGACCGGATGTCGAGGCATTCCCGCATCAGGAGCGAGAGATGTCTTTAAGAGGCACAAAGCCTGGCTGCTCAGAGTCTGTTTGCTACCTCAGCACGCCTGAGCATGGTGCAGGGTATGCTGCTTCTTGCCGTATACGCAGAATGCAACTGGTTTGCCATCTGTCACGCATGTGAGATGGGGAGAGACATGGGTCTGTTTAATCTGCTTGCGACTAGTAGGCGCAGTGTTGACCATAAAAGCCCTGAGAGACACAGCGACCTCGCCCGGCAACTGCGGACAGCGCTGATCCTGCACCAAGTTGAGCAAGAAGTCGCTAGTGGTACAGCGCGAAGGTGCAAGAATTATCAAGCAGCCTGCTTGTCTTTGGACGATGTTTCCGGTAGTATGGCATCCACGCTTCCCTTCAAACGCATCGTATCAACCGTCGAGATCGTAGAGCTAAGAGGGAGATATCTCCGAGAAATTGAACAACAGAATTTGAGTGACGAGACTCTTGAGGGTACGGTGAGGAATCTGGAATCAGATATCAGCACTTGGTTTACGAAGTGGGACAACGATCTTCAACGTAAGTATGCACCTGAGCTTTTCCGTTCAGTACAAATTCACCATATTAGGGCTAGGCCTTCCCAGAACCTCTTTCCAACGCAGCAGTCTCCGCTTGCAGAAGGATTACGCATTCATCATCGTCTGCAGCGCCATACTCAGCAGGAATGGGCCCTTGAACGTACCGAGAAATCTGGTGGAAGCAGCAATCACAAAATCATATGTGCATTTGATTAGCATCTCATGACAACCATTGATAAATAAAACTACAGTACTACATCATTTGAACCAACGAAGAGTCTCATCCAAGCTTCCCCGTCCTAAACATCAAGCACTGCAGTGAGCGGCTAGCTTACGCTTAGATTAAGCCCTTAACCCTACCTAGGTATATCTCATCCACAGGAGCAGCCTTCCATGCTGTTAAGAAGCATCCTTTGTTTTGCTTCTCGGAAGCCCTCTACCTACCTAGGTATTATATATGCTCCAATGAACGGGGATCTGTTTAGTCAATTGAATAGGGAGCGAGGTATAGCTAGAGTATATAGACTGGTCTGCACTATCACTAGTAAAACGGGCGCTGTCATACGCAGCATCAGCATACCTATTACACTACAAACATCGTCAACGAAAACGGATTTAGATTATCAAGTGAAATGGGTACAGCATGCAATAAACTCTATCAACAATCTAGTTCCACGATGTAAACATTCAATATCAAATTCATCAAAAGCAAGCAACGCTCAAATGCCAACAAGATCCAAAAGCAAACAGAAATAAAGCCATTAAAGGACAAAGAAGAAGCCACCCAGCCCAGTCAAGCCCTAACTCAGTCCACCAACTCCTCCAAACTCCTCTTCGCATTCCTCGCAAGCCCACACCGATCCAAACAGGCCTCAATCCCCAGCGCCACATTCGCCGGAATCATCTCGCGGAAGCTCTCGATATCCTGCCCGTTAAACGTCTGGATGCCGCCCAGCGTCGCCTGCACCACATCGCCCCTTAACCCAAACAGATTCTGCGCAACCTGGCTAACACCAGGATCAGCATCGTTGAAGCCAGCAACAAACACCGTCTCCCCGCAATCCGGGTTGAATTCCTGGTGGATCGCGCCCTGAGGAAACACAGCCATCTGGTACAGATCCAGCGTGTTCTCGACCGGACGGGCCCCGTTCTCCAGGATGAAGTTTGTGACGAGACGGCCCTTGACGACGACATTTAGCTCTGTCGCGCGGTTGTGGACATGCGGTGTGTTCATCCCGCACGGCCCGAGAAAGCCCAGCGTCATTGCGGCGCCGTTCCCGATAAGCGCTGGGAAGGTCTTGCTGTGGGCGGCGACGGAGAATCCGCCTTTTCCTTTCGACTCGGACCCCCCTGGGGCGTTGGACTCGTTGAAGTCGAAGATGTAGTCGCCCGGTTGGGTGAGGAGGGCGGCGCGGTCGGCTTGGGTTGGGGCCAGGAGGAGCGAGGTGATGAGGTCTTTGTTGCCGGAGCGCGGGTTCACCGGGACGATTGGGGGGAGGAGGGCGTTGATGTCGCTGTTCTCACTGGGGTGGTCGTGGTCCGGGTCTTGGTGGGTGTAGTTGGAGCGTTTGAGGGCTGTGGGGACCGCAAGGGTTGTGCTTGTGAGGAGGGAGGTGAGGAGGAGGGTTGGGAGATGCATTGTTGTGGTTGAAGGTTGCAATTGAGTTGATGTGTGAGAATGAGAAGTTAAGGTGGTTGCTGCTGCTTCTGTGGTTGTTGTGGTTGTTGCGGTGCTGCGTTATGATATCCTGACGGCGACGACCGGGGCTTTATACCCTTCCTCCCGCATACTATAGCAGACTCCTCGATGCGCATCTTCCCATGTACACTGAAGGCTCTATCATGTGTCCATGGTAAGAATAGCAGGGCTATGCACTCCATCCTGCAGAGCCACCAAGGATCTGCTCCGCAGTTAGGGCTGACTGCTGCCATAGAACTTTGCAGTGATCACTAAGTCAATGTTGCCTTTTTTTCATGCAGCGGGCTATGCAGTAAGGCTTCCAAGGGTCCAAAACGGTCGTGGACGTTGGAAGCTGAGCTGCCAAGTCAGCAGGGCTGCTCGCCGTCGTGGGCCCTGGAAGCCCTAAGTAGTAAGTACCATAGCCTTAACAAGCAACACTAAACCGGAACCTTGGAATAGCTATGGTAGTCTACCCCAGACACCAGGCATAAGCCTCACTCATAAATTCCTCACCAATCGCAGTATTTTCCATCCGAGCATCAGCTGCCAAAAATAAAACCCGGCTTCTTGGCCCTGCAGATGTCAGACGCGGCTGAGCATGGGTGGAGGCGGCTGAGCAGCGCTGTCATAGGACCACGACCGCGTAGTTTATTCTAGAGCTTAACAATGGAAATAAGCGTCTGGGCACCGCTGGGCAGTGGAGAAGCTTAACCTGAGTCTGATTGGATCCGTCGGCTGATAGTCTGGGGCATTATGCTGCCACGAGATGAGGCTGGCAGCCTTACGGGCATTACCTTGCAGACACGTGAAAGTATCCTGGTCTCTGCAGGCGAGCCTAATTAGACTCAGGGTCTGATTGAATCTACACTATTCCCGTACTAGTCTTACCTTCGCTGCTATCCCTCAGTCGCATAATAAGGTGGTGGCTGATCGGTCATCAGCCTGTTTATTGAAGCAATCCGCCCCCATACCAACAATCCAGCTCGTGTCCAACAATCCTGAAGCTCCGAAGCCGCATGCACTATGAATAAACAGTAAGGATCCGACGATGCATGCCATCAGATCTACACCAACGCCAAGCTCAGCTCAGCCCTACCCAGCCCTCAGCCAAGAGCCCTGGTTCGATATAGACACCGAACCAGGCCGGGGGCCAGGGCGACCAACCTCAAATATCTTCCGCTTTGTTGCCAATCTCAGCACGATAGAAGATATTGGTATCGTTCTCGGAACCCTAAAGCAGAACGTGTTGCGAGGAAGCGAGCTATCTTTGGCATCGAGAGGAATGCCTTCATTCCATCCATCCATCCTACCTTAGTCCGCATTATTCGCGCACGAGAAGCCCATACTGCTGGGGTCGCCATGGATGGCCTTGCCCGATGTATACAAGCCCATGTCGCACTGGTCAAGAGCACGTCAACTCTGGGCTGTATCAGCGTGATGGAACTTACTAAGAGTTGAAGGGCTGCTGGCTTACCAGAACCACCGCGACGCCAATGGAAATGGCATTCAGCAAGGTCAAGGAGATCTTTCGCAGTGGCTGAACACTCACCTGTTGTTCATCCACAGCCAGACGACCCCGGGAGTCCGAAGGAGAACCAGCTGGCGAAGAGGGAGACCTGTGGTGGCCCGGGAGACCCGCACTGACAGAGATGCTGTTTGGCCTATTTGCAAGTCTAGCTTGAATGGAACATACGAGATGATATATCGTAAAGAATGAATATGGAACATAGCAGGAATATAGCAAGTTATCCTCATCGTGTTGGAAATCGTACCTAGTTCTCTGGAGTAGACCTACCTACCTACCTAGGTAACCAATGGGCTTAAGAAGCCATCGCTCTCTCCATCTCTATCTCTTTTGAACTCGATGTTACAGCACTGGAGAATGGCTGGCGTTGCTTGTCGAGGACTAAGGCCTACCCAGGCGTGAGCACGGTATTACCACGGCGGATTCGCTAGCCCTAATGTAGGGCACATAGCTCTGCGACAACGGGTTTTCGGCTCCTAGCACATTATCACCCTCGTATCTCGCTATGATCAGCACTGCAAGAGTAATGGTATATCAAAATATCAAAATATGCATAACTTTATGCCCTTATGCATAGCCAGTGCCACATACACAAGTGGATCTTCGACGTCATTCTTCACCATTCTGGTCTCGATCGATCGATCCCAACTTTCAGCTTCAACTCCCCTCACCAACTCAATCAACGCCTATCAAGACAGTAAAGCATCGTGATAATGGCCAGCTCACGAATGTACCTCTTCGGAGGCCCTCAGTACGCCCACTCCCTACCTACCTCCCCTGTCAGCATACCCTGCAGGTGAACTAACCACACTAGTCCCTGGTCGCCAAACGACTGGACCTCGCAAGACGACCGCGTCCGCGGCGGCGCCTCAACCTCTTACCTCACCGCATCCCCCGATAGTACGTCTGCATCATTCACCGGAACCCTCGACATCAGCACCCTCGGCGGCGCAGGCTTCGCGTCGCAGCGCACAACGGTCGAAAAGAGCTGGGATTTGTCGGCGTATGACGGGTTAGAGCTGGATATCGACGCCACGAACTCGGATGGGAAGAAATACACGCTTATTTTGAAGGATGCGAAGGGGATTCTCCCGCCTAGGGATGATGGGCGCGAGAGGAGCGGGTTGAGCTGGGAGGTGGATTTCGAACCCACCGGTAGGGATCCGAAGGGGAAGGTTGTGGTTCGGTGGGAGGATCTGAGACCGACGTATCGAGGGAAGGAGGTTGGGGATGTGGAAAAGTTGGATTTGAGGGACATCAAGAGGTTTAGTCTTATGATGCGGAGGTTTGTTCTCCTTTCTGCATTCCTTGCTATCGATGCTAATGTGGTTGGCAGTTTCTTTGGGACGCAGGAGGGCGAGTTCAGACTGGCGATTGTCTCCATTGCTGCTTGGAAGGATGAGGAGAAGGATGGTCTCGAGAAGAAGGGGGGGATCGTTGTTGAGACCAAGGAGACGATTGACGATGATGAGAGCTGGAGTGTCTTCGGGGACCTCGACAACTCGCAGCCAGCCTGCTGTGTGATTTTATAGAGAAGTATCTATCCTGTCAAGCTTATGGAAAGTCTGTGCAGTATCACAATATAGCGTTCATAGCACTGCTGGATACTGACTGACTGTGTCATTTCTCGGGGGCCCGGAGACCTCGACTGGTCATTCTACCCATGGGCTGGCAAATCAAGAAACATGCACGCCTGCCATCCGTTCGAACGAGGAAATAAGGAGGACCAACTAGGTTAGATTGGTGAGCATGCCGCGCACGCTCCTGGGCGCGATCTCGGCGATGTACGTTAGGCCCACGACAACGGTCATGCCGATGCCCCTGGAGGCCAGCTTCAACCGTCCGCCGAGGATCTAGGGCACATTTCCGTGGCCTGTGACGACGATAATAAAGCCCGCAAGCCATAGTAGAGACAAGACCTGCAGCGACCGGACACGTCCAGCCGGTCGCAGATGAAGAACGCTAGAAGGGACCCGGCGATGCTGCCGAGCTGGACCACGCTCGTGATGTTGGAGAGCACGTTTGCCTGATAGCTTTCGGACCCCTCGTTTAGATGGAACTCGGTCTTGAAGCTTTGCAGGCTGGTCATGCCGCCGACGAGGCCTTCGTCGAGGCCGCGCCTTAGTCCGAGGAGGCCATTTCTTGTTACTTACCATACCTAGGGTAAGGCCGTGTGTGGATGAGAAGCGAGAGTTCTACCGAATACCGCAGCACTCCAGAGAAGCCTCCAATTCCAGACCTCCCGAGGTGTGGTGCGCGCCCTCGGGCTCGGTGATGCCAACTCTCATTATTGGGACAGGGGGCGGTGGTGTTAGCGCAAATTAGGGTAGGGCCTTGATCCCAATCTTGTAAAGACAAGAAAAGCAAGAAATCTTGGGTAACTACAAGCATTGCCATGCCTTCCGTTGGCTTGGCCGGGGCATATATGGCCCTCCCCGCTGCGGGGACCATGTGGATTATGAAATTCGGGGAGAAGGCCGTTGGAGAACGTTGCATTCTCCGTATCTGATGTGCCACTACTGCGTGAGCCCATTGAACAGTTGTAGACATGATTCGCCGTCTTTTATCTTCGTGATATCGGAACTTGACCGGGTCCCTCCCGGAATTGCCGTGTGGAGGGGTATCTACGAAGAGCCCTGAGTGTGGCAGGATAATAACCCACGATGCTCTCCATGGTAGCTTTATCTCAGACCAGGCCGGATACCCCAAGGAAGGTCTCGAAGGGATGGAGCCGGCCTTATCGTTATTTCATGGTCTGCAGCACAATACGTAGACACAGTTGGCATAACTTACCTAGGAGAACGAAAGTGGCCACTAACAACGCCCCAATTAGCGGATGCAGAAGCAAGATAGGTAAGTCTTTCAAAGATGCAGCTGGACTTTATACTATCGCAAGACATTAGTCAGGATTTTTGTTTTGAGGTAGGGCTGGAGCATCCAACTCGCAGACTAATTAGGGCACAAATACAGTCACAGACAACCAATGTCCCTCGTCGTTGTTTGCCAGGATTGTGAGAAACAAATGGAAGAGAAAATGCTTCCAAGTTTGCAAGAATCGATTTCCAATATGCAACTTCTGCCTGAGGATGCTTAGAAGATTCTGAGTGACCTGCACGTACGTACCTGCTGACGTGCAATAAGGTACATCGCAGGCACCACCAAGGCCTTCAAGAGTACCAGCAGTTCAGCATCAGTCAGAGGATAATCCAAGTGATATCTAGTTTTCTCTTTCCAGGTTCTTTCCACCATAATCTTTCAATGACTAGAGGTGATGTTCATCCTGTACCAATGAGCCCACCCACTACGTAAGTCTCTGGATTGACGGCAGCGGCAGCAGAGCGAGGCCTCTAGTGTCTCCTGTCAATCCTGGTCAGTGCTGTTGACTATAAAATATAGTAAGTAGATCTTGGTCTTGGGACTAATTTTTTAGATGCTGCTTGCATCCAGACCGCTACCTCGCCCATGGAGTAGCTGTACAGTACCATGGCAGCCGCCGCTCCTACTCGACTTATTTAGACGAGATACAAGCTTGAAATAAGAGTGAATACAGGTCGGCCCACCCCGTCTGCAGCTGACCGCAGCTTAATTAAGCTAAGGTAAGCAAGCCAAGCTTGCTTAATTAAAACCCTTAGCCCACCTTGTATTTTTAATAAATTTTATTCTATATCTTATTAATATTTTAAAAAAAGTAATTTTATAGTACTTTAAACTACTTTACTATAGCTTTAACTAATAATCCCCTTAATAATCTTATAATTAATATACTTATTAATTTATTAGTATTAATGCCTTTACCTTAGCTAGCTATTAAAAAAGTTTTTATAAATTAACTAAGCTTTTTTAATAAGCAAAAGTAAAATATTTTTTAAAAGCGTAATTAAGCCCAGGAAGCTAATCCTAGTAATAAGGTATAAAAATTATTAATTATTTTTAAAGTACTTTTTAACTACTTTTTTAAAAGTTACTAGTATTAATACTAGTAACTATTAGCTAAATATACCCTGTTTTAGCCTGTTATTTTTAATTTATTAATTACTTATTAAAGTATCCTGCTACTAATCTTAATAATTATATATATATTATTTATATAAATAAAATAACAGGCGCATAATCCTAAAAAAAAATATATAATATAAGTAAGTTTATATTTTTTAAAAACTAGTTATTAATTACTTTAGTTTATATATTACAAGGTAAAAGTTAAAGGTATAAGGTGGATTTTTAACTAGTTTTTTAGGTAAATATATAGTAAATTTTACTTTAATTACTTTAGGGTTAAGGTTTATAAGTATTTAAATTTAAAACTATAAAATATTACCTATTAAAAGGTTAAAAAAAAATTTTTAAATAAAATATATAATAAACGCAGGGAGATTATAATAAGTAAAGCTTTTTTAAAAATTAAAGCTATATATAAGTAAATTAAAACTAGTTTTATTATTTTAAAACTACTTTACTAACCAAGCCTGTTTAGCCTTTTTTAAATAACTTAAAAATACTTTAAAAATAAAAAGGCATGCCCACGGGTAATTTTTACTTATAGGCTTATTTTATAAAAGCATGTTATATTAATAAGCAGCCCTAATTTTAAAGTATAAACTAGTTTTTAATTACTTTAAAATATTTTTAGTATATATTATTACTATATAGCATGCCTGTATAATAACTAATATAATTTTAATAAGTATTTTATATTTAGCTTATTTAACTAGGCTTAAAATATTAATATTAAGCTATTTTAGGCTTGCTTTAAGGCTCTAGCCTTAATTAATTTTAAAAAATATAACATAGTTAAGCTTATTACTAGTTAAAAAAAAAAGTGTAGTATATAAAATTAAAACTAGTTTTTTAAAAATAAAACTAGTTTTACAAGTATTTTTTTTTAAAACCTTAAAATTACTTACTAACTACTTTATTTAGGCCAAAGCCATCTATAAAAAAAAGGGAAACTTAAAAAAATTAAGTATAAGGTTATATTTAATATTTTTATTTTTTTAAACTAGTTAAAATGTTTTTTTATTATAATAATTTTTTAAAGTATATATACCTATTCTCCCCCTTTACTAAATTAACCTTTAAAGGCTATTTTTAATAAAGTTATTAAGCTTATTTATAAGATGCAAGATCCTAACCTTATAATAGGTATATAAACTACTTTATAAGTAATTTTATTTAATACTAAATTACTTTTAAGTTAATTTTTAAAAAGTCCAGCCCTTTAAAACTTTTATTAATAATATAATAATTAAATATTATCCTAAATTTATAATAGCTTTATAAACCAAGATTATTTTTTTACTATTATTATAAAAAAAAGGGCTTTACTTTACCTTAAAGGCCAGGAAATAGCTAGTATATAATTTTAACTTTTAGTTAAGCTAAACTTTAAGATATTTAGCTTATTTTATGCCCTAAAAACTAGTTATTAATTACTTAAAAAGTATTATTACTAAAGGCTTGTTACCCATAAAAATATTATTATAGTTATTTATATATTTAATAAGTAAATTAAGCTTTTAGCCTTGCTAAACTTTTTTAAAGTTAATATATTTTATAAGCATGTTAAGGGTGCCTTTAATAAGGTTATTTTTACTATATTCCTGCTAAAGCATAGTAAAAGTAAGTTAAAAAGTACTTCTTAAGTACTTTACTTATTTATATTCTGCCTTTTTTTTAAAACTAGTTACTAACTACTTTTAGTTTTTATATTATTACGTGTTTTTATTAATATTAAGATTATAAATAAATATTTTTTACTTTTTAGGAAGGTTTTTAGCCTTATTACTTTTATATAGGGGTTTTTTAGCTAGTTTTTTTACCTTTATAGTATTAGTATTAAGGGTATTATAATAAATATATATATAAAGTAAATAGTTAATAAGCTTTATATAAAACTACTTTTACCTTAGGCTAAACTAGTTTTAAAATTAGGCTAATATCTTTAAAAAAAAGATTTTTATAGTTATATTTAAATATAATAGTTAAAAAATATTTTTATTATATATTATATTTACTTTTTTTAAATTATTTAAAAGCTTTGCTCTCGGGAGGAGCATTATATATTTATTAATTATTATATAAAAAGCTTGCTTACTACTAAAACTCTAAAAGATTATTTTAATTTTTATAAACTACTTTAAAGTATATTTTTTTATTTTTTAAAGTACTTTGGAACTAGTTTTAACTTTAATTAATATATAAAAATACCTTTGTTTATAATTAGGCTAAATATAAAGCTTATTTAGTTATTATTACTAGTTTTAACCAAGCCTGTTTTTAAATTTTGCCTAATTATTATAAGTAAATCTAGGAAAATACTAATACTATTAAGCAAAGCTATTATAAGTCCTATTTTTTAGGTACTTAAGAGTTACTACTTAGTATAGTTATAAGGTTAAAACTACTTTATTTATTATAAAAACTATTTTTAATTACTAATTTTAAGGCAGCTCCCGGTAGCTTAATTAGCGTAATATAAATTAATATTATATAAAAGTTTTTTATAAAACTTAGCATGAATACTGCATAAATAACATGTATAAATAATACCTTAAGTATATATAAAAAAATTATATATATATTAAAATTATTTTAAAACTACTTTAAAACTACTTTTAACCTTTTTAGTGTGCTAAAAATATAAGGCTTTTAATATAGTAAAGTAAAAGGAGCTATAAAAGGTAAAAAATAGTTTTAATAAAATTTTATTTAAGTTAAATTTTTTTAAATTTATATATACCAGGGGCTTTTAGTCTTAATTATATTATATAAAAAGGTAAAGTACTTTATTTTATATAAAAACTAGTTTTATACTAATAATACTTTAGTATAACTTTAGCTATACCCTATAAATAGCATGCTTTATATATTTTAATATACCCTAAAAATTACTTTACTTACAGGAAGAACTACTTTAGTATTAATAATTTTTTAGGGCTAATTTTACTACACCTACCTATTAGTATATTATATAAGTTAATAAAGCCTGCTTTACCCTAGGGCTAGATTTTTTTAATATTAATATTATTTTAGTGCTTTTATTACTACGCCTATTTAAAAACATATATTAATATTATAAGTTTACTAAAAAACTAGTTTTTAAGTACTTACTAACTATTTTAAATTTTTTAATATTTTTTAAAACTTTTTTATTACTACCTATGTAAAGGGCCAAAGATTAAGAGTTAAGGGTAAAATTAAAATTAATTTTAAGAAACTAGCCTAGTTAAAGTAATATTTTTATAATAAAATAGCTGGGGGGCCTGCTATATTTACTAAAGTTATTAAATATATTAAAAAAAAGGTTAATAATTCTGGTAATTAAAACTAGTTTTAAATTAATTTAAATATTTTTAAAAGTACTTTAGTTACTTATTTAAAAATAAAATTTTATTATCTACTTGGCTTTAATGGCATGTTAATATAGTTTTATACTATAATAATTAAGTTTTAATATACTAGCTAGTTAAAGTATAAATATTATAGGAATATATATATTTATTAACCAAGACCTTTAATATAACATGTATATAAAAAATAAATTACTTTAGGCCGCTAATAAACTACTTTTATTAGGTAAAATATATAAAATAAGTAAAAAATAAGTAAGCTTAAAATATATTTTTTAGCTTAGCAAGCATAATATAGTAATAAAAATTTAAAAATAAGTTTTTAATTAAAAACAAGTAAATAAATTTTTTAAAAATTTTTAGTTACTTAGTAATACTAAAAATACTTTTAAAGTAATTAAGCCTAATAATTTAAGGGTATTTTATATAATAAGCTATGTACTTGGTTTAAATCTTACTTTTATTAATTTTTTTTATAACCTTAAACTAAACTAGTTTAGCCCTAATTAAAAGTACTTTAAATTTAGAAAAATAATAATTACCTTTTTATTTTTTTTAAAAATAACTAATTTTTAATAGGCCTATACTTAAAAATAAAATTAGTTTAAAAGCTATTAAAGCTAGTTTAAACTTAATTATAAAAAAGTAAAGTTTATTATAGTTTAGGGTATTTAATTATGGCTTATTATATATAAAAAAAAACTAGGAACTAGAGAACTACTTTTAAAGTAGTTAATATTATATATACCTTATTAAAAAAAAATAAAAAATATAAAATATGCCCGTAGGCGCCCTGCTAAATTAAAAAAAAAAATAAAGGGGGGTATAAAAAAAACTACTTAAAAAGTAGTTTTTATAGTAGTAGTATTAATAACCTTTTTTTTTTTTACTTTTTTTTTTATTTTTAAAATCCTGGCCGGTAGCATTAGGCTTTTTAAAAAGCTTAAAATAATTATAATTTTTAATTTACTTTTATAAGTAGTATTCTAAAACTAGTTAAAAAGTACTTTTAATAAAAAAACATAGCTTATTTATATTTTTATTTTACTTAAATAAAAATTAAGGTAAAATAACTAGCTTTATAGCCTAGCGCGCCTTTTAATTATTAATAATAAATTAATAAAAATTTATAAAACTAGTTAAAAAGTACTTTTTATAAGTAATAACTAAACTTACCCTTAGCCTTTTTAATTTTACTAACCTTTAGGTAGCCCCTAACATCCTTTTTATTTTTAAAAACCTAGGTAAAAAAGTAAATAATAAAATACTTACTAATATAGTGGCCGCGAAGGTTATTAATAATACTAAATTTTATTTAAACTAGTTAAAAAGTACTTTTTACAGGTACTTAAAAAAACTTACCTTATTAAGGTAGCCTTTAACCTGGTAGCAAAACTTCCTTAAAAAAAATAGGCTATTTTATTATTTTATAAATAATTAGTTTTAAAGTACTTCCCAGGGATGCATGTAAGGTTAAAAAAAGTTAAAAAATAAGGGTTAAAAAGTAATTTAAAAGTACTTTTAGCTCTTACTTTTTAATAATAATAGCCTTACTTACCTTTAGCTCTAGCTTTAAAAGAACTACTTTATTATTTAAAATTTATATATATTTTTTAAAAATAGCCTAGGCTTGGATTAACTGTAAAAACAGGTTATAAAGTAGTTTTTAAGTAATTTTTACTATTAATTTAATAATTAGTATAATAGGCGGAAGTGTTATTAATAAAAAAAGTAAAGGGGGGTAAAAAAAAGTTAAAAAAAAATTTAATATAAAGTTTTAATAGGATTATTAATATTTATATTACTTAAAAAGTAATATAAGGCTTTATTATATTAATAGCTATTATATTTAAATTATAACTAAAATTATAAGTAAAGTTTAAAGGTAAGCTTGGGTAAGCTACGAAGCTAGGTCACGTGACCGAACTAGCTAGGGTGACCGGTAGACAAGTCGGGCCGAGCTGTTCTCTGGAAATAAGATGTCTTGTTGCAGATGTCTTGGTGCAGCGGAAGCTTATAGGGAGTCAAGTCTCAGCTGGGGCCGATAGAAGCCCACCCTAGGCAGTACTCGGATAGACAAACAATGACTTCATCACGGCCTACTATGGTATCATCGAAATGAGTACCCTGGGGCCTGGAGCTGGCTAGATCACGGACACAACCTTATTCGTACCTCCGACACAAGAGGCCAAGATCATCTAGAAGACGTAACGCATCCACCTCCCTGCTGCCGAATTTGACCCGGGACGGAACCGGTGGAGCAGGCCAGTATAGAACCATCTGATTAGCTGGTTAGAATGGTGGGCCAGCCTAATTCGGAATAAGCAGATGTCTCAGGGATGCCGATCGCTTGGATTCTTGAGAACCACCCTTCGTTGGTGCCTTGCAACCACGAATGAAACTATCTCTGGAACAATGCTTGCAATCTACCCGTGCCGAGACTACTTGGTAGGTCTGTTTCACTAACAAGTCCTCCAAGAAGTCCTGGAGGGCTTCTTACTTCCTAGCAACAGGCTGGCCCAATAGCGGGCCCGGGCGGCCGCATGCCTGATCGACAGTCAGGAACTCGTCGATCAGTCAGATCCTGTTCACTCAGTCTCTCAAGCTCGTCATGGGAGCTTCCTGTCGACCTTCTTATCATCTCCAGCCTGCACTCATCCCTAATGCTCCCAATGCCATCTTAAAGAGCTTGTCCCCTATCTACCTCCCAATCCCCCTGCTTACCATACCTACCCACCCACCAACATGCGCCTCACAACCGCCCTACGCCTAATACTCCTCGCAGCCACAGCCCACGCCAAAGTGGCGTCCGAATGGCTGCAGACAAACCACAAGGAAGGCGATCCCCCGCCCTCCGGGAAAGTCGACAACGACCAGCTGGTGATTCTCAGCGGCAGCGACAATGTCAGTCGGGGCTCGGACGCCGTTAATGAGCCGCAGCCGTCGAGCTGTCCGACTATTATGATTGGGACGGCGGAGCCGGACGGGGATATGGATGATGGGTGGAAGGAGTTGTACGGCCTTTTACCAATCTGACGAGAAGAGAGTTGTTCACTAATGGTTGCGACTAGGCCCACGGTCGCTGGGTTTGATCTGACTCGGCTTGTTGTGGATGATGATGCGAATGCTACTTTGGTGCGTGTTTGCTCTAATATAATGACGGCCGGGGTCAATTGGACGAGCTGATACCAACCCTATTGCCCTGTCAGCCCTACTTCCTTGAAAACACAAAAGACTTCAGCAACATCAAGCGCGCGGTTATCACGATTCCAGGGAAAGCAAGAAAGTGCGTAATGCCCTCCTATTCCATGCAGCTTTGCTAACAGTCCTCTTCCAGTTCATGGCAATCCGCCAACGGTATGACCTTCATCTCGCCTGCCCATCAAACCTATGGTAGCTAATGAGCAACTCTTACGAAAGACATGCGCAACGCCCTCGTCTGTGCCGCAGGCCGAGAAAGCGTCAACGCAGACATGGACGCCGTGCTCATCGCCGCCCCGCAATGGCTCAGCGACAAGGACGTCGACGCGGGCGCCGGCGCGTCGAGCGATGTCTGGTTTGATAATAGTAGTTACCAGCAGGGCGCGGCGGCGATTGGGCCGGGGGATGTGAGCATCTCCGCTTATGAAGCGTACGTGCCTGATATGGGTTTGAATGGTTGAGTGTGATGGACTAATACCTATGATACTGCAGGATGGATATGCTCGTCAACACGTTCTGGAACAAGGACGTTTACCCGGCGTTGGAAACGGTTGTTGTTGCTAGTCACTGTATGTTCAGTGCCTCTGCCCTGCCCTGTTCCTTGCCTAAATCATGATCCATTCGTCCGCTGACATCTGCATTCCAGCCCTCGGCGCCCAAATGACCCAACGATGTATGTCCCCGGCCCCTCCCTGTGCAGCACATACCTAGGTATTAACCAAGCAGACGCCATGCTCCGCACCCCCCAGCCTCAAGACAGCAACCTCTCCTTCGGCATCATGAACCCCGGCTCCTACGCCTGGCCCGTCTCCGACCGGCCCGACACCGACGACTCCTGCGAGAATAGCTACAACTCCTGGCCGTACGGGCTAGACGACAACGACACGGACGCATTCCCGTCATACGTCACGGACGCATTACGCAACCGCTCCGCCATCCGCGAGCGGTTCTTCTCCAAGACGATCTTCTATGGCTATGGCCTCGATGACCATGGCGATGGGGATACGCACTGCGAGGCGCAGTGGCAGGGGAGCACGCATCTTGGGCGGGGGCGGAATTTCGTGGATATGCTGGGGGATTTGGAGGGGGGGTTTCCGGGGCTTCAGGAGGTGGAGTATGTTGAGGGGGTGGCGCATGAGGAGTATCTGATGGTGAGTCCATGTTTCCGGTTCTCTGTGCTTCCAATTGCTTCTCTGGTCTTGGGTGTGGGTGCTGATTTTCTGGTGTAGTTTGTGTCGGAGGCTGTGCAGCGCAGGATCTTCTTGTTTGATGAGACGGCGGGGGGGACTGGGAACAGCACGAACAGCACTGGTTCCGACGGTGATGGTGATGGGGATGGGGACAGCGATGGCAGTGATGATGGGGATGACAATGGCAGTGCGCATCAATATGTACACATGCCGGGCGTTCTCTTCGGGTCGTTGCTGGTCTCGGTTGTTGCTGGGTTATATGCTTAGATTGCATGGATACATATAGACTCTGCGATAGACAAGCCTGCTTCAATTTGTGATACCTATCAAACCTCGAAATACAGCAATAGAACAACCGAACTGTTCAAAAAAGAAAAGCCAGATATGGCTACCGGAGTACCTTCAAGCTTCAAAGGCGTACTAGGCCTCGGGAGGAAGTCATCATGATGACCTATTAAGTACCATAGGTTAGGTATTCTGCTGAGCCCTAGCTCTGACCGGCTGCTGATGAGGCGGCGAGTCAATATGAGCCGACAACGCCGTCAACCAGACATCCGACGCCGTCTTGTCAAGGCCATACTGCTCCCCGAAGAGGAACGTATGCGGATACCCAGCATCAAACAGGACAGCGGCGTCAATCTCCTTCATCTCGTCCGTGGCCAGCTCAACGGACAAGGCCTCGATATTCGCTGTCAGATGGTCCACCGTCCGGCCGCCGATGATGGGGTAGACGTAGGGTGTTTTGTGCAGGGTGTATGCGAGGGCCTGGAGGTCAGCATCGAACATACCCGTGCACAGTGGGAGTGATGCAACAACGTAAACCTACAACAGCGTGCAGACTGCACCCCTTCCTTCGCGCAATGCCCTCCAACACCCCCGACACCTTCACGTCCCTTTCTGACATCTCCGCCGCCCTGCCCGAGCCCTCCCTTTTCTCCGCCGCCGCAGCCGCAGCCTTGAACTTCCCATGCCCCAGCACCCCAAACGCCGTAACCCCCATCCCCTGATCCCGACACATCGGCACAATCTCCCTCTCTACATCACGAACCCCCGCACTCCACAACCCCTGATACACCGAGAACGGCCGAAGTCCGTGACTCCTTGCAAACGCATTCCCCTTGACAACCACCCAGGCCGGTGTGTCCGAGACGCCGAGGTAGAGCACCTTCCCCGCCGCAATGAGGTGGTTAAGGCCCGTCATGATCTCGGAGATGTCGGTGGTGAAGTCCCACCAGTGGAGGTAGAGGATGTCGATGTATGAGGTGCGGAGGCGTGAAAGGCTGGATGCTACAGACAGGGAGAGCGATTTGAGCGAGTTGCCGACGTGGTTTGATTGCAGGGGGGTGTTGGTGTGGTTGTGGGCGTGTGTGCCGTGGGTGTATTTTGTTGCTATACTATGGTATGGTTCTTTCATCAGTTAGGGTTCATGGGCAACAGCGTATTCCAAGTTGAGTGAGGCATACACCATCTGGTCGCGGTTCCCCCGGGCTTCCATCCACTCCCCGATCCACTCTTCGGATTGGTTGTCTTGGTAGCAGTTGGCTCTGTCAGGAGGATTAGTTCTGAGCACGGTTCTGATGCCACTTTATGCGTGAGCTTGACGGGCACATACGTGTCAATGAAATTCCCCCCATTGTCGTAGAACGCATCCATGATGGCAAAGGCTTCTGGCTTCTCGCATTTCCCCATGAAGCTCTCCCTGGGTCTGTCAGTAGTATTCATTATCAATCACAAGAGGGAGAAAATAGACCAGTTCGTCCCGAAGTTCATTGACCCCAGACACAAGGGCGAGACCTTGATCCCGGCGGAGGGGGAAAGGACGCGGTGGAAGCCCAGAGGGCTCGTTGGCTTGGGGGCTGGATCGTAGAAGCCCATGTTGAAGGCGAATGGCTATGTTGAGCTTTCTTGCTTCTGTAGGCTCAATGTCTAGTGGGGATGGTATCGGCAGTTATATACACACCGCACTCCTATGCTGGGATGTGAAAGTGAGAATCATGGATGTAATATCAGGCTGTTTTATACACTCCTATAGTGGAATATAAACGCGAGGTAAGGACAATTTGATAGGTAATAAGGTTGCACACCACCTATTCCAACACCAGCACTCTGTTACATTCTCCCTTTGCATCACTGGCTACTATATGCTATCCCCCGGCCACAGACTACTATGGTACTATATCCTAATCGGGTTCAGCTTGTTGAAGATTCCCTGCGGGTCATACTTTCGCTTGAGCTGGGCCAGCCTCTCACCATTGCCTCCAAACATATCCGCTGCATCGGCCGCTATGACAGTCAGCGACAACTCATGCATCTTGGTCTCACTCACGCTTCAGGTAGTAGATAAAGTTCGAGACAAGCCTGTTGGGCTCAAAGCCCGCCCGTCGAAACTCCTCCTGGAACTTGCTCTGCAGCATCGTCGCCCACTCAAGATACTCCTCGTCCTTGCTCGCATCCTCATAGTCCAACGAGATACTCCCCTTCTGCACATTCACGCGGTTCGGAAACGCGGTTGCATCTGTCGGCACCCTGGCCACCTTGCGCAGATCCCAGAACTCAATGTCGATGTACGTCCGGCGCAGATCCGGCTCCGCGTCCACCTTGGCCTGCAACTCGTCCAGCAAGTCCTGCACAAACTGCGGCCTGAGCGGCGACACAAACTCGAACCCCAGCAGTCTCTTGCGCCGGCCAGGCGTGCTGAACGAGTCGAGCGTCGCGTTGGCCTCCTCGTACGCCATCACACGCACATCGCTCCTCTCGCTCTCCAGCGCAAACACACCCGCAAGCCGCTCCCGACACACCTCCTCCGACCCGTTGCAGAACAGCGTCACGCTCAGCATGACCTGCTCGCTCCCCTCGGGGAAATGACACACGCACTGCGCCGCCAGCTGCCCGTCATCCCACCACAACGCCCCGCCCAACGCCTCAAGAATGGCCTCGAGCTTATCCGCCGTGAACAAAAGCGAGCCGGCAACGACGTCCTTGCGCTGCTCGTGCGCCACAAACACAAACTGCGTCACAACGCCAAAGTTCGTCCCCGCCCCGCGCACAGCCCAGAACAGCTCTGCGTTCTCGGCCTCGCTTGCGCTCCGCACCACCCCGTCACTCGTGACAATCTGCACACTCACCAAATTGTCGATGACAAGCCCGTGGCTCCCAATCAGGTAGCCGAATCCGCCTTGCAGCGTGACGCCGCCGACGCCCGTGGTCCCGACGCTGCTGCTCACGACCGCGAAGGGCGTGCCCGCTGTTGCGGCGTGCACGTCCCTCCACAGCGCGCCGCCGCCCGCAGTTAGGGTTTTGGAGCCCTGGTCGAGCGTCACGGTGTTGAGGCGCGTCAGGTCCAGGACTAGGCCGGCGGTGCTGTTCCCGCCGTCTGGGGTGTGCCCGCCTGCCTTGACGGCCAGGTCGAGGGTGTGCTTTGTGGTGAAGAGGATGGCGCGCTGGACGTCCTGGACGGTTTCGGCGTAGACGATTGCGCCCTGGCCGTGTTAGCTTCTCCGACATAATGCCTAGTGCAGTGTCCGGGTGGGTAGAGTGGAGGGAACGCACAGCGCGCTTCGAGGCAAGGTCTGACCAGCGCTGGAGCGCTTTGCCGTATCCGGGGCTGTCCGGGGTCACGACCTGGTCTTTGGCTGGGAAGAGGGCCTTGAGCTCCTCGATGAGGTCCGGGGTGATGGGGGAGGTCGAGGGGGAGGCCATTGCGTTGCGTTGCGTTTGCTGCTGTTTGGCGCTGATGCTGTGCAATGTTGATGGAGATGGTAAGGTTGGATGGGAAGTTGGAGAAGAAGGCGGCCGACATTCAAGCTCCTCAAATAGTCGCGGCCGGAGAGTAAGTCGAGCTTGGGCTGCCAAAGCTTGATATCATCGCGTCACATGCCATGGGCCCGGGGGTTAAGGGTGTTGAAGGATAAGACATGCAATAGGAGATACTGCAGTTGTTATTTGCTGGGAGTTGATTCCCATATACCTATGGAGGCCAAGTGCTTACAGCTCCAGCTGCATGGATGGATCCCCGCATTGCACGAACCCTAATCGTCTGCACGGGATATTTTATCTCAGATGGGAACTGCTAAGGGTTGGGGAAGCACAGCAGGCCTCGTTTTGGTTGCACAATATGCATAGAACGCCGACTCTATCGAGAGCTCCTCCGCTCTTCCTCTTGATTCCATTGGTAGATTGGAAGATGTACTTCAGAAACCTCTTGATATCCGAGAGGCTGAAGAGACGGAACATTCCTCCAAGCGAGAGCTTAATCCAACTGCATCGGCATGAGGTCTGTTCACCAACATAGCGTTTGGAGCCATACGCACACCGTGTCCCGATTGTGGATAGTTTATCCAGAGTTCTTGCGATGGAACGAGTGCAATTGCCAGTGACTCATTATCCGGGATGTGAGGTCCTTATACTGGTATCAATCATACAGTTCATAGTGGCGCGGAGGACTCGCTCCAGATCAGACCAACGCATCCCGAGTGTGAGACAGAGGAGAAACTCTGCCTGGCCAGCGGAGGATATTGACAGTTTTCCTTGCAGAGACCTTCCTCACGTACAGAAGCAGAGTCGTCAGGATATAAACTTGCTGTGTCGATGAGCCAGCCAGATTGCCAACATCTCATCAGATCAAATTCATCTCGAGTCAAAGACAAAAACAATTCAATTTATTCCACACCTCACAAAGAACCAAAACCAAGAAAAAAGAAATAACAATGGAACAACTCCTCGTCCACCAAGTCAACCGCTCTCCCACCTCCCCCGCCGTCATCGACGGCGCCCTCACCCTCTCCTACGCCGCCCTCCTCGCCCGCGCCGACCGTCTCACCAAGACCCTGACCCTCAAGCACATCGGCCCCCAGGAGCCGATCTGCATCTTCCTCGAGCCGGGCCACCGCCAGGTCACCGCACAGGTTGCCGTCCTCCGCGCGGGCGGGACCTGCGTGCCCGTTGACCCGTCCATGCCGCAGAAGCGGCTGGGCGAGATGCTCAGGGATATCGAGGCCCGGCTCGTCATCACGAGCGAGGAGTTCGCTACCCGTGTCCCTGGCCATGACGCCGTGCTGTTTGACGCCGTCATCATGGGAGCGGGAGGCGACGCAGAATCCAACATCGAAGCTCGTGCCACCAACGGTCATGGGACCGGTGACAACGAACCCAACGGACAAGCCAAGCAAGCCATGCAAGTCCCCGTCCCCGTCCCCGTCCTGGGCAGCTGCCCCGAGCAGTGGGACCACCGCAGCCACATCCTCTTCACCTCCGGCTCCACCGGCAAGCCCAAAGCCGTGCAGATCTCCGCATCCAGCATCCTGCACCTGGCAACCCGCACGCCCGTCACGCCGCTGCAGGCCACGGACCGCGTGGCGGAGCTCAACAACCCGGGCTTCGACCTCTCGCTGTTCGAGATCTGGGTGTCTCTGCTCTCGGGCGCCACGATCGTCGTGATCCCCAAGCACACGGCGACGGACCCGTTCGGGCTGCGCGATTTCATACACACACACGGTGTGTCTGTCGTGATCTGCCCGACGGCGCTGTTCGGTGTGATTGCGTCGACGTGTCCCGAGGCGTTTGGCGGGGTGCGCCATGTGCTTGTTTGCGGGGAGGCGCCGAGTGTCAAGGCTGTTAGGGACGTTTTGACCGAGGGGCCCCCCGGGGCGTTGTGGAATGGGTATGGGCCTACGGAGTGTACGACGTTTGTGACGCTGCAGTTGGTTGATCTTGCCGAGACGGGGAGGGAGAGTATTAGTATTGGGCGGGCGGTTGGGGAGACGGTGGTGTATCTGCTGGATGAGGAGGGGAGGGTTATTGGGGATGCTGGGAGGGATGGGGAGATTTATCTTGGGGGCCCTGGGTTGTCGAGGGGGTATTTGAACCGGCCTGAGGGGCTGGAGCGGTTTGTTGAGATCTGGCCGGAGGGAAAGGGGGGCAAGGGGGTGAGGGTGTTTCGGACGGGGGATATGGGCCGGTGGAGGGTTCCCTTGGAGGTGCTGGACTTCAAGGGGCGGTTTGACATGCAGGTGAAGCAGGATGGGTTCCGGGTGGAGCTGGGGGACGTCGAGAGGACGCTGGAGACGATGGACGGGGTCCGGCAGGCGGTTGTGCTGCAGCAGCGTCCGACCGGGCACAAGGTGCTGTCTGCGTATCTTGTGCTTGCGGATGAGAGCATCCGGGCCAGGGACGTCAAGAACTACGCGAAGGAGAGCCTGCCGCCGTACATGGTCCCCAGCAAGATCACGATCGTCCCTGCGCTCCCGCTCAATCCGTATGGGAAGGTCGACCGCGAGGCGTTGGCGCGGATCAGTCTTGAAGAGGACGGGGAGGTGGCCGACGGGGACTCTGGCGAGATGTCCAGCATTGTGAAGCGCATGGTGCGGAGCCTGATCCACGTCGCCGACCTGCAGGCGGACGACGACTTCTTCGAGCTGGGCATGTCCTCGCTCGAGTCTGCCCGGCTCATCGGCCTGCTCATGCAGCGCTTCGGCAAGAAGGTCACCATGGACATGCTCCTGGAGAACCCGACCGTGGCCAAGGTCGCCTCGATGCTCCAGGAGACCAAGCAGACCCGGCCCACGCTCGTCGACATCGCCGTCATGCAGGCAGACACCCTGCTTGCCGACGACATCCCCGTGGTCCCGGACTGGCTGGCCGCCAACGAAGGCCGCGTCTTCATCACGGGCGTCACCGGCTTCGTCGGCGTGCACCTGCTCGCCCAGCTCCTCGCCCTCCCAGGCGTGCAACAAATTGCATGCCTCGCCCGCAGCCGCAAGGGCCTCTCCGCACAAGCCCGCGTCGAGCACACCCTCAAGAAATACAACATCTGGGCCCCCTCCCAGCCACACATGTCCAAGCTCCTCATCCTCGACGGCGAAATGGCCGACGAATCCCTGGGCCTGGGCCCCGAAAAGTTCACCTGGCTCACCACCTGGGCCAGCGTGGTCTTCCACGTCGGCGCAAAGGTCAACTTCTGCGAGCCCTACGCCAGCCACTTCGCCTCCAACGTCCTCGGCACAAAGCACGTCCTCCGCCTCGCTGCCCTCGGCCGCCGCAAGGCCCTGCACTACATGTCCTCCATCGACACCTGGGGCCCGACGGCCCTCGTCCTCGGCACGAAACGCCTGGAGGAAGACGAAGGCCTGCACGCCCACCTCACCTCCCTCCCCTACGACACCGGCTACGCCCACAGCCAATGGGTGGCAGAGGAGATGGTCCGACGGACCCGCGACCGCGGCCTACCCGTCGCCATCTACCGCCCGGGCTTCACAATCGGGGACCCGAGCACGGCCATGGGGAACCCCGACGATTTCTTCGCGCGGCTGATCGTCGGCAGCATCAAGATCGGGTTCTGGCCGTACCTGCCCGACCAGCGCCTCGAGTACGTGACGGTCGACTACGTGTGCTCCGCACTGCTGCACATCGCTTCCAACACCGGCAACCTCGGCAAATCGTACAGCCTGGTGGCGCCGGAGCACAAGCAGTCCGTCAGCATCGAGGGCACGGGCCGCATGCTCAATGAGGCCGGGTATGCGGTTAAGGAAGTCCCGTACGACGAGTGGGTTGTTCGATTGCGGGAGTCGGACATCGACCGCAATCCGCTGTCGCCGCTTATGCCGTTGCTGGAGGAGCCTGTGCTGTGGGAGCTTAGTCGGCTGCAGACGAGCAAGCATACGCCTGTTTATGCGGCGCCGAATACGGTCAAGGCGTTGGGGGGGCGGGACGATATTAGGTATACGCCGCTGAGTAGTGGGTTGCTGGGGAGGTATTTGGAGAGTTGGAGGAGGGAGGGGTTTTATGATGTTTGATTTGATGCTGGGCTTGTTTGTCTTGTCGTTGGTACTGAATATCTGAATGCGTACCGTGCCTATGTAGTTTGATGGTACACTTAGGGCTAGTTGTACCTGAAGACGGCCATGCTTCCACCGCGGCCTCTTCCAACTCCACATTCAATGCTATTGCTGCTTTTCACCACCGTTACCCTCTCTCCACCAAAGTATAAAGAGACCATTACCCTCTCTCCCAAAAACATACAAAAAGCAAAAACATACAACAGCTGGGATTCGCATGTGGTCACCCACCATACTACTAACCAGCCGGCGTGTGGTTTAAGTACGGCTGAGCGGACGGGAAGCCCTGTTCTCCACACCCTGTGGTCGTATGTGCTTGTTGTTTTATACCAAGCAGTTATGTAGGGGTCAATATTGACTCACAAGTCGCAATAGATGTAGGCTCAAGTCAAGGGGATTTGAGGGTCGATAATAGCGCCGTGGTCTTAAGGAGATTAAGGCCTTGATATCCTTAGGGACCGGATTGTTCTGGTGGGCTGTAATGTCAAACATATGGTAGTGCTGGTTAAAGCGCCTACGTGCACGGTGGCCATTTGTACCCGGTTAAAATATATAGCTGCGTTTGGTATGTATACCCGGGTATCTCGCCGACGTATTAAAGCTTATTGGGCTCGAAGCGCCTATAATGGCCAAGTAATAGCAGTAATATCGAACTCTAGCCACCAAGACCTTTGGACAGAGTATACAATCTATTAGCAAACCGCGGTTGGTACACACAGGCAGATGCCAAGCATAAGCCCTACCCGAACAGGGACCCCAGCGCTACCGGGCTAACCCCCCCTGCAGCCTAACGCACCCACGTGATTACCCTGTAGTCCACCATTCAAGCTTGGATTGCCCAGCACCTACATCCTTGGCATCTTCTTCAATTTACCAGACATGGCAGTCACGGACGAGATCCGCCTCCGCCCAAACATAAACATAGCCACCCTCCTCGGCCGCAACAACCACACGTGGGAAAACGGCCGTCGATACCACGGGCACGCCCCCGAGTTCCCATTCCCAGATGACCAATCCTTCACGTTCGGAGCCGTCTGGGACGTCCTCGTGGACCGGAAGCCGTTCGTCGCGCCGCTGGCCCTGCCACTGCAGCGCAAGACGAAGGTCCTGAGTGTCCCTGGTCGAGACGGCGGCTGGGCGTCCATGCTATGGGATGACGAGAATGTGTACAGCAAAGCTCGATATAGCGCGGTTGAGCCGGCGTATATGCAGGGGCAGGGGCAGGAAGCGCGGGGCGGAGTACGGATGGTGCATGAGGGCTTTGAGGGTCCGTGGCCGTTTACGCGGGACGAGGCGTTCCATTTGGTGTATGTGGAGGGCTTGGGCGGGTTGATTGGGGATTATACGTGGTTCTATGGGAATGTGTTTGGGCATACGGCGCCGGGGGGGGGGGTGGAGGTGCGTGAATATGATTTGAGGTTTTTTGCGAGGGATGGGAGAGAGGTGGAGATGGGGGGGAGGTGGGATGCTGTTAGGGAGTGGCAGGGTTTGTTGAACGGGCTGGGTTTGTGGATGTTCGTGAGAGGGTTTACAAGGTATACTACCTAACCCTCTTCCTCCACTGCTGGAGATGCTAATACGGCCGTTAGATTCCCTGTAGGGAATGGAAGGACGATCCAACAACTAAGAAGACGGGAGACTACTATAACTGGGCTTTTGGGGATGCCCTGGAAGGATACTCGCTACGACTCTTCACAAAGACATTGGGCTGGTCAAGGGAAGACACGGACGATCTCCTCAGTAGGGTACGTAAGGAAATGGCCCAGGAAGACCTGAAGTTATATTCCTGTTTCTATCAGATACTTGGGAGAAAGCCGGCGGATACAGCAAGACAGGCAAAGAATCAGGAGCCCAGGAACAGGGACACGCGTGAGATGGACGAGATCGTGGCCGACTGTGGGGGTCTGTTCGCTGAGTGACCCACGAGGACAAACATGATAACAGTGGCCATGGTGCACCTACATCATAGTTATGGATAGAGAGCCCTGGAGGACCCTCGCCGGTACCGCATCTGTCAGATTTCCTGCTGCGCGGGTAGCATTACACTGGGGATAGTACCCTTGATGGCATCTTCTTGCCGGAAGAGGTGGTGACAGGCGATATTGTTAATGTCGAGACCTTCGATATTCCCAGTACGCATCCTGATTTCGCGCCACCTCCGCCGTACAGTGTTAATTAGCAAGTTCTGTGACACAGGTTGATTTCATGTACCACTGAATTGTCAAGCTTTCAGTGTCTCACAGTTGATGTTGACCAAACGAGCTAAATTACCCCTATACGCCGATTCTGAAGCCGTACATAGGGTAAAAGAAGGCCAGCGTGGTCATATGTATATATTCAATTTTGACTTGAATTCTTCCTGGCGTGACTTCTTGTGAGTTTACAGGGCGCTCAGGATACTAATTAAACAAACAAGCGGATTTAACTTTATCTAGCAAGCATACTAGGTCAATCCTGATATATTATGACAGCTGCCTCGCCAGTTGTATGTGCTTGGGTAGTTAGAACAAGTAGATATATAACTTAAAACTCTAGGGGAAAGATGCTGTAGCTTGACTCAAAGCTACCTTACTGCGAGATCCTACGCGGTGGGGGTCAGTACGCATATGATATTGCAGTACCAGGTAACAAGATAAAATCCGTGTAATTAATTATGTACTGGTCGCTGTGTCGGCCATGCGAGGTACGGTAATATCTTGTAGTAACATATACCTTGTGAGCATAAAAATCAATTGCAGTGGCAATACGCCAGTCCTTAAACTCAGGCACAGGCTTATATCTCCATGCTGGCTCACAAAAAAGGATGTGCAATTGCGCAAACTAACTTCGGGCTAGCCCGCCTGCAACTATTTGTATCCCCACTATGGATATGTGAACTGAAATTCAAGTCCACTGCTCCTACAACCCGGTCCATCAACAAGGGCCGGACCGGAACCTTGGGTACTACAAACGCAAAAGCTTTTCCATGTAGGGTTCGAACGAAGAGCCGCTTAATGAACGCGTGGAGGATGCAAACCAATAGCTCAGCTCACTATAGTGCGCCTCGAGTAAAGATTGGACCGAGAGTGAGGGGTAGAAAAAGATCACGGACCCGGGCTAAGATGTTCTTATGCAAGGCTCGAGCAGCCGAGCCAATCAGCAGGGGATGTTCTGTTTGGGTTCTCGAGGCTGGTGCTCAGCTGAGTTGGCTCAAGGCCTACAGGGGTCTCGGGGCGCGCGGTCGCTCCTTCCTCCTCTTGACGCCTGCCGTCATCTCAACCATCGTGAGCACCCAGGGAGCAAACGGCGTCTTTCATCAACTCCCTTCCCGAATCGAAGATTAAATGTCGGAGCCAAAAGCCGCTGACGAGACGGTGGACGAGAGGGTTGATGTGAGAAGATGATTGCCATAGGCTGATTCGGCCGTTGCTGACGCACTGCAGGCGGCTGACGCTCGTGAGGTTACTGGGGAAGTCAGTACAGACGATTCGAACCACCCGAAGATTGCAGACGTTGAGGGCGAAGCGGATGATGCGAACGCTGTCGAAGACTTGGACAGTGATCGAGCGGACGATATCTGGGTGCGCAGCTTAAAGCGAGCGATCGAGAATGACAGTCTCGAGGACTTGGGCCCCCTCCTGGAGACGGAAGGAGCGCTGGATAAGAAATTTGAGTCTGTTATCGCCGACGACAAAACTCCGATAGCAGGTCTGACCCCTTTTTTATTTGCGGCCGCTCTCGGACGGGTTGAAGTCGTCGATAAGCTTCTGCGTCAGGGGGTGGACGTGAATGCACAAACGACAGACTTCGGATCGAATGCATTCCACCTGGCTGCCATGTTTGGACAAGTCGATGTGATGCAGAGTCTCCTTTCCGAAGAGAACAGTGCACACCTTCTCGAGCAGCGGAGGCCCGATGGATGGAATGCTCTAATGTATGCTGCTGAGTGGGGGCAGACTGAAGCAGTCAAGCTGCTCCTCGACCGGGACGCCGCGGTGGACGTTGCAGATGAATATGGCCGAACTACGTTGCACATGGCTTGTTATCGTGGATATGAGAAGGTATTTGACTTGCTCCTCGAAAGGCTTCAGAACAAGTCTGCGGCAGATGGTTATACTTCCGCAAAGAAAGTAATCACGAAGAAAGATACATACGGGGACACGGCTCTGGACGATGCCGCCAGTCAAGGCCACACTGGCATTGTCCTCCGACTGTTAAACACGCCGACTTATTTCCCGCTTTCTCCCCTCCAAGCGGACATAGTCCGGTCAGACGATGACCACGCGGATGTCATCGCGAATGTGCTTATGGCATGGAAGCACGATGACCCATCTGATGTCGACGAAGAGGCGAAGAATGCGGCGGGATACTGGGCCATCCTGCACGGACGCAACGAGCTGATCACGAAATTTGGGCCCCCTCCCTTGAACAGGAACGGAGTTACTTGGGCGCATGTGGCTGCCCTCAGCGGGTACGAAGAGACGCTGAAGCGATTCGTCAAGAAGAGGCAACACGTTCTCAGAACGTCTCCAGGACCAACAGGGCTAACTCCGCTACATGTTGCCGTGAAGTATGGCCGCAATAAACTGGCGCAAACGCTTGTGGACATATTAGTCAAGGAAGGAACAGACAAGGCCCAAGTGCTCAACGATCTCCTGGTGAAAACAAAGGAAGGGCAAACACCCTTCGAGCTGGCGGCCCTCGGTGGGACCGAGAATCACAGGGCCATTGAAGAGTTGTTATGGGTTGAGATAGATGGCATCGTCCAATCCATCCCCGACTTTTTCAATGCGCCGGATGAGACGGCCGATCTCGTCTTGGAGCTCGCAGCTCGATTCGACAACCCTGGCAGCGAGAAGCGTCTGCACCGTCTTTTTCAAACTATGCTATCGCTATCTGAGACGTACTAGGTTGAAGCGTCCAAACTGGAGTTGCAGAATGATTGCAACGCCCTGCACTGGGCTGTTTTCTACCAGAACCCCATTATGGTCTGGTGGCTGCTGGCGAATGGGGCTTATACTCGAGAAAGCGACATCACCCGAGCTGACAGTATCAACAAAGAGATGGGAAAGGATGAAGATACCAAGGACCTCATTCAGAGACTACTCTTCGACCCTCCTCCTATTTCAAAGCGCCGACCCCCGGTGGATGACAACCACGCACCATCATTCCAATTTGGCCCGCTCTGGAAATACAAGTCCGACATCTACGAGTCCCATATTCACAAGCCCGATATTTCAGGGACGATTCTTGACTTCTACCACGGAGAGGGCAAGACGAACTTCCGGCGCAAGCGAGGCCCTCTATTGGATATCATATACAATCGTGGGCCCCAGAAGTTCATGCGATATGACGGATACCACGATCTATCCGCTCTCAAGAAGCGACTTGTCGCAAAAGAACCGGACGTAGTTCCAGGCGAACCCGATGTGTTCAAGCCCGCCACAAAAGCCATGGTGAAGGATCCCATCAAGACGGAACAGCAACAGTTGAGATGGTTCTTCATCCCAGTCAATGACGTGAGTGATTAACATAAATGTGGATGGCAGCCTCGTGCTAACAACAGGGCCTGGTAGCTTGAACTTGCAGAGGTAATGCCTGGATATCGCCTTTTGGACGCCCAAGCTAATGGCTTTCAGGAGTTGATGGTATGTATCTCGAGAGACCGAAGTATTCTAAACAAGGAGCATCGGAAATTGATCCAGTTTGTTCGGAGAAGCTGGGCTGAACTGCCGGCTGGTGGGAGGAAGTTCTACATGAGGCCCCAATGTGTGGTGAGTTGGCTTGTCAGTAGACTCAGCCTGGTGGTAACAACGAGCATGCAGAGTGAACGAAAACAGCAGCATAAGAATGGAACAACGACAAAGGACAAGGCGGCACAGAGTCGAGAAGCGACCAAAGTCGATAGTTCAGAGAAACCAAAAAGCCGCAAAGGAAGGGTTGCAATATATGTCTGTTACATTCTCTGCCGGTCCATGTGCTGGTACTAACCCAACCTGACAGATGCCGTTCCTGTCGTGGATGAAGCTGCCGGCAAAGGGGGCGAAGGAACGCCGTCAGAGCGCCCCTGTCATGGACGAGGTCACAAGAGACGACACCGCACCAGAGCATAAGCCCATGACTTTGGACCAATACTATTACGTCTCTCTTGACAATACAAGAGAGCGGGACCAAGACCAGGTGTTGGAACGGTACATTGGCGAAGAAAAGAAACGGCGCAAGCAAAGACGGCAAGACCATCTTGCGAATGGCAGCCCAAAGGATGAATCCAGCAGTGACAATCTTCCTGAAAAGGAGTTCAACGAGTTGGTAGACAAGACAGCGGAGCAGATCCTGGTGGTCCACCAGCTCTGGCTCTGGAGGCTCGACGGCGGTATGCATCCCTGCTCTTGCCAGTGGCAGTGGCTAACATGTGTAGAAACCATCATCACCAGCACGAGTGAAGAGCCAGACGGCTCAGACAATACTTTCATGCAGCACATGGTCAACGCCTTGAACCACCAGGGCAAGAACTCGCCCACCTCGGACGGCTCTTTGATAGAGCTGATCGTCAACACGGCCGTCGGGATGTTCCTAAGGAAAAACATTACAATCATGGACACGCGGAAATCACCCCTGGAGGTTTTTCGAGATTCGATCCGAGTCGTGGTAAGCTATCATACTCATGATTGACATGCAGGTACTGAGGTAGGCTATAGCGTGATAAAGAGGCGAAACTCTTCGAAAGGTTCAAAGAGTCACTCACTTGTGGTCATCAAGGCTACCACGGAGGCGACAGTACATCTACTGCGAGAAGCCATACAGACCAACAGACTCCAAGGAACAGGTTCCCGCGTGTTCAAAAAGCAGGTTCCTCAGGCATGTCTGTGATATCACCCACTCCAAACCACAAAGGGCCCGGGGAAGCGCAGGAAGGTAACGACTCAACGTCCACCGCGACCAGCCACGCAGACGAGAAGGAAAATATCTACTACAACATCGACCCCGAAACAACGCTGCTGAAGGAGATCAAGGATATCTGTGACGAGCTCAATATTCTCAAGAACCTGGCTGAGGATCAAGAGGACGTATGGAGGCAAGTGTGCAAACTGGAAGGGAGCACCCAGACACCCGGGACGCCGTCGGCGTATATCACGCCCAAGGACATCAAAGACGAAATCACGGAAATGGTCAAAGAGGCCGAAGCCGTGCAGATGACCATCAACTCCCTGCTCAACTTGAAACAGAAACAGGCGAACCTGGAGGAGGCAAAGTCTGCCCGTGAGCAGGCTCAAGCTACGGCGAAGCAGACCGACACCATCATGGTCTTCACGATTGTAACGATTGTCTTTGTGAGTGACTATGGCCAACATTGTCAATAACTTCACAGACTTCTAACAGTACTCGCTGTGTTGCATGGATATAGCTCCCCCTCTCCTTCCTGACTAGTCTTTTTGCTCTGAATATCAGCAACTTCCCCCACAAAGGCGACGAAGTGCTGTACCAGGGGTGGTGGATATTTCCAATTCTTTGTAAGTAATATACCCGATTACCCAGCCCGGAAGGGTAGCGGAAGAACTCTGCACCTGCTAACATAGGGCAATTCTGTTCCAGTCGGCGTCTCGGTCATCGTCTCGGGATTCTTCATGGTCGTCGCGTTCAAGGCAAGCGATCTGAAAGAATATCTGGGCTTGGGACCTGAGTCTGAGGACGGCACTGCGAAGAAGAGTCTCCGGTGGTCGGTGCGAATGCCTTCGTTTAGACAGCGCGGGACACCTGCTGCTGCTGATAATCATGAAGCAGATTCGGAGGATTCGCGGAGTGGTGACAAGAAGGGGTGGTTCGGGAAGTATCCTTGAAGGCCGGGTATACTTGGATATGCTTGACCAGACTATATACATACTAGGTAACTTTCTCACGCACAGGCTCTCAGATAGATATAATGGCTTCTGTCTTTGGCATTTTGATCAGACTACTCAAATAGCTCCTCTCAAGATGAGTTAAAATTGTTGTTACTGACATGGGGTATGGTAGTATATTTCCGAGTCCGGGGTTCCTCGATAAGAACGAAGACAACGTGATGTATATTCTGGAAGCATACCCGCATGCGCACTTCCACAAGTCACAAGAAGCCACAAAGCCCGGTCGGTGGTATGTGGCTTGAATGTTCCAGAGGAGAAGCAAGCCCTGCAGAACGCCCCCAGCCCTACGGATGGACCACTGAGTCGTCTCAAAGTCCGACTTCGTACAAACCGTGCTACTAAACAGTCATGCATCACAGACTATAGAGTAAGGTAATAGGCAGAGATCATGGTAGCTGCAATTGACGCGCAAATGAACAGCAGAACGCAGCCGGCACGAGATCAAGGAACTCATCTGCCGTGAGCACGAATAAAGGCCAACTTTTCCAACAATCTGCCAGCATCTACACAAAAACTCTGCTCGTCCGGCCCCCAAGCCCGGTTCTTCTACAAAGTTCTGAACGACTCGCACACCGGCATCGTCAATCGAGCCAGATGCGACTCATGTTCCCGTCTCTGCAATGGCCCCAAGCAAGATAGGGAATGGCCCCGCTAGTTCGCAGGCAGAAGCTGACCAAGAGATGAGTAGACGGTTCTATACCGATCCAGATTAGATGAGTACAGATCCAGATCAGATGAGTCCAGGACTCCAGGCTGCAGCGACTATTTGTCATGCCCCACTGCGTCCAGAGAACGGCACGACAACCACGTGGATTCTAATCGCAGATTAACTTCGATTGCCACGAGGTTGACGCTTGGCTGGATCTCATTACGTACTAGAACTATACGGAGTGCTGAATGTCATGTACTAGCTAGGCTTGCTGTTTGTTCTGCTTCTCTCTCATGCCCTGTCTTGGCTGTTTTTGTATGGCTCTCCCCACCGTGCTATGGTCACAGAATGTCTTGACTGCAGTGTCTGACAGCCAGACAGCCGTGTACACGAGGCAGCAGGCGTTTCATGCGCGATTTCCACGAACTCCTGACTCGAGCGCCGCCGTGGGAGTCTGACTCGCCTAGCGCCTGTACCTCAAGCCACCACGTGGTGAGATTTGCTCCACTGCTGTGAAGGACATCTGCCATTCTAATTGGTGCATACACATGCCGTCCCATGGAATCGGTCTAGAAGCTGAAATCTGCGTCTCCCCCGAGGATGAACCGGCGCCTCAGATCCCCGGGCCTTACCCCAACCGGTATAAAGCCGCCATCCCTCCTTCCCATCGTCTCTCATCATCGGATTCATCGCCATTCTTCTCTCCTTCCACAGATCCTCCCGCTCCTCCACCATGGGCTTCATCCGAGCCACCTTCAGCACGGCCGCCGCCATGCTGGGCGCCGCCCGCGCCTGCGGCTGCACGCCCACCGTCCACCTCGACCAGGGCACCGTCAAGGGCTTCACCCAGAACGACACGAACGTCTACCTGGGCATCCCCTTCGCCGAGTCCACCGCCGGCCAGAACCGCTGGAAGGCGCCCGTCGCCCTGACCTCGTTCCCCGGCGGGAGCGTCGATGCGACCGCGTACGGCCCGTCCTGCGCGCAGGCCATGTCCGGCAACGCCATCACCGCGCAGAGCGAGGACTGCCTGAACCTGAACATCTGGACGCCGCAGCAGGGCGCCAAGGGCCTGCCGGTCTTTGTGTACATCTACGGCGGTGCGATGGTCACGGGCGGCAGCAGCAATTCCCAGTGGCAGGGGTTCAACTTTGCGCGCAAGGACGTGGTCTATGTCAACTTCAACTACCGCGAGAGTCTGTATGCGTCGCCGAATGCGCCGGAGCTTGAAGGGCAGAGCCAGAACTTTGGTATTATGGACGTTGAGATGGCGGTGCAGTGGGTGTATGATAACATCGAGGGTATGCCACCACCTGCACCATCCCAGTAACCCTACAATCCGAAGACACCTGCTAATACCATGGTACTGTCCAGCCTTCGGCGGAGACAAGTCGCGCATCGTCCTGGGCGGCCACTCGTCCGGCGGCGTGCACGTCGACCACTACCTCTGGAACCACCCCTCGACCTTCCTCGCCGGCGCCATCGAGATGTCCGCCAACGCCCAGTCCGGACCCGCCATCACCCCCTCAGGCGTCGGCCTCAAGCAGGTCGTGCAGGACATGCTCGACGCCGGCGTCTCCCTCGCCTGCACCGCCGACGACTACACCCTCGACTGCCTGCGCGCCGCCGACACCTACGCCTTCCAAACATCCTACTTCAACTCCACCTCCAACACCTGGTTCTCGCCTGTCATCGACGGCTTCACCCGCTTCGCCAGCTACGCCGACCGCTTCGCCGCCGGCAACTACCCCACCTCCCTCCCCCTGATCGTCGGCAACTCCGACAAGGAAGGCGCGCTGTTCGGCTACGTCTACGGGTCCGAGGACACCGACTTCGCCAAATGGATCGCCACCTTCGACGCGGACATCGCCTTCGTCCCATCCGACGAGCTGCTCTCCGCTTACAATGAAGCCGACTACTCCTCCGTCTCCCAAATGAGCGGCGCCTCCTACGGCGACGCCCGCTTCTTCTGCGCAACCGACTACCTCCTCGACATCCGCGCCGCGTCCCAACCAACCTGGATCTACCGCTGGTTCGGACAGTACGACAACGTCCTGCCGATCCCGAACCTGGGCCCCAGCCACGGCTCCGAGGTGCCCTTCTTCCACGGCGGCGAGGAGTGCTTCTCCGGGATTTCCGGCGTCACTGCCGACGAGCAGCTGCTCGCCGATTACATGAATGATTGGTTTGTGGCGTGGATCAAGGATCCTTCCGCTGGGCCGGGATGGGAGCAGGCGGTCCCTACTGATGGGCCTCTTGCGCGTCTGGGTGTTCCCGGGGATGAGGAGGCCGTTGTTATGAGTACCACGGGTCAGTATAATGCGCGGTGCCAGAAGACGTTTAAGCCGAATTACCCTGCCTACCCGAAGGTGCTGAACCCGGTGGAGTTGGCGGCTAGCTCTTAGTCCCGCTCTCACTGTCACTGTTACTGCCACTGCCACTGCGGTTGTGTGGTTGGCTGGCTACCTGGCTGACCGGAGGCTCGGACGTTCTTTCTTTTTCTTTCTTCTTCCTGTATTTGTTCTTTAGACCTTCTTCACCCTTTACTTGCTACATACCTGTATAATAATAATGCATAGAGGCCCGTGGGTGGGTCGGACTGGCGTTTGATGTATATATCCATGTGTACTTTGTATATAATGTTTTCATTGCATCCTACATATACATCCATACATCCGATATCCGATATCATTTATCTTCGCTTCCTGGCTTGTTTGTTTGGATAGTATACCGACGGAGACAAGCTGCCTTGTAATGTGTCGCCTTGCATCTCAAAGAGACCTGGAGGTGCAATGTGCCTCTCTCAGGTCTGTTTGTCTGCCCCGCCATGGCTCGAATCATGGAGAATCAGCCCCGTTAGGAGTTGCCATGGGCGTTTGTTTGCTTGGTTGGTAGGGTGTTCGTTATAGTCCTTCCCCGGGACCCTTAGGGGCATCCCGCCTGGTTCTCTTTTTAATTCCTCAAACTAGGGTTCATGGTTTGGTATTCTACTACACCGGCGATTCGATATGGTGGATATATATCTGCGATAGTACAATGCATCCTACCATGCATGGTACAGTTATTTGTAGAGAAGCTAAGAATGGATCCCATATCTTTACCTTGGGTAGAAATGGATCGATCTGCAGGTGCCGTTCCCTATGCATTTAAAGTATTTGATACCCGGTTGACAAATGGTGAGTCTTGCATGTGGTCATGAGTTCGGTATGGCAGACCAAGTTTACAATAGAACGAACCATCCATGATTTACGTGCATACGGGCATACATCTATAGGTAGGTAGGTAGGGAGGTAGGTAGGTATGTATGTACCGCACGGTGCTCACAAAGCAAAGCCAAGCTAGGCCTCGATAGAGGTATCAACACACACAGCTGATCTTGGATCTGGTTCTGAATCGGATCTGAGATAGGGTACCGAATCCGAACCATGGGATCAATTCTAATCCCTTCTCTGCAGGTCGGGTGCCTTCAAAGAGTCAAGACAACCCGGCCAATTGATCTTTAAATATTAGATAAGGGTGAATTCGAGCCCTCCAGTGAATTACACGTGCACGGTTCTTCACCTCTTCAACTCTTTGATAAGTCTCGATATGCTTCTAGAATCTAGCCAGCCCAGATGAACGCGAGGAACGCGAGGAACGCAAAGCCAAGCTACCATTTGACTTTAGCGAAAATGCTGTATGTGGCGCGGAGTATTTATGTTAGAGTTCACCACAGACACAGCTAACCAGGTCCGGCACCCTCCGAGCCGCGTAGTGCAAGTCAAATGGCTAGGTCCCGGAGTGATGCTCGTTCAAAGTATATTTGATGTGGATATTTTTAGCCTGAGTCGCCAAGGCCACGCTGGGCTGTGCTGGTGCTGCTGCTTCCAAGTAAGACCGCGAGAGCGTGGCCCCGGCCGTGAAGTCGAACGTGCCCGGAGTCGGACCGTGGTGAATCTGTTGGGCAAAGACCAGGGGAATAAAACCTAGAAACGACCTGAATCGAGATCTGGACTCCTAGACTTAAATTGGTCCAAGTGTCCGTGTCCCAGCCAATGCCCGGGGCCCAGTCCCAATAATAATACCACCCTGATCCACGCCGACTCGCCGAGCATCAGGCAAGAGCCGAGAGAACTCAGAAATCTGAGTAAGAGCCAGCGCATGACTCGCTCGGCCATGGCATGACGCTGGCAACCTTGAACCACGTAACCGAGTCGATAGTTTGCAGCCACAAAGGCTCTTGAGTCAAGAATGCTGGTGCTAGTCAGGTACGCAGAATTTTGCGTTCTCCCCGTCAAGCTCGGGCGTTCTGGAGCACAATGCTCTAGTTGAGTTCGACCAGGCCGACTCGCCGATATTGAATTTGATTGATGTTGTGAGTGGAGGGGAGGGTTCGGCCGAGTCGGTCTCGCTTGTTGCTGCCTACTCATAGTACCATTAGGGTATTCTATTTTACCTAGGCAAGATATGAGCCGAGGTGCTGTTCAGAAAACGTATCTTGCCGGGAAGAGTCTTTGCGTTCTGCAGGACGCAGATTCAGGTTCGGATATACTTCCGTGGGATTTTCATCCCTGCTAGTCTACAACTCTAAGTCTCGGAGTCTGGTATCCTGCCCACCGAATACGGGGTAGGCTTTGCCCAGCGCACCGGGGCCGAACCGGCTCTCTGGGCTGCTTGGCCTGCTTGGCTGCATCTCTGTAGTAGGTAGGTAGAGCGGCCCACCCATTACCGAAATCCCACCCACTAACAAAATCACTTTTTAAAGACAACACCAAAATTGTTATCTCACAAGTTTATATCTTAATAATATAAATATAATAATATTATAATAATTTAAGCTATGTTAAATAGCTATAAATTTACTTTATTTAATAGTATATTTTTTTTTATTTAAATTAATTATATGGCGGGATTATTAAAAATCTTATTAGGGTAATTTTTTTAGCTAGTTTTAATTAAATTTTTAACCTTAATTAATTATAGGTTCGCGTTATTTAATAAATTTTAGCACTAGTTAAATAAAGGCGCTTTATAAAGCCTAAAGTTATTATAAATAGGTGTATTAAGGCTTTATAAAAAGCCTTTATAATACTTTATATAAAACTAAGGGGGGTTTATAAAACTCTTAAAGTTATTATTTAATTAAAAGTCCGGGAATTTATATTTAACTAGTAAATTATTATATTTATAGTAGCTAGGGTAACTAGGCGTTTTAATAGCTAAAGTTAAGGGTATTTAACTTGCAGGAGTTAAGTTTATATAGCTATTTTATAATATTAAAAATAAAGGTAAAAAAGGCCTGTTTTAACTCCGCAGGGGTGTTAAAGGCATAGCAAGAATAAAAAATAATAAAAAAATAAATAAAGCTCCTAACAGCCAGGCTTTTTTAATAAATTACTTAAAAAGTTTGGCCTTTTATTTAGCCTTATATTTTACTACTATTTTTATAGCCCTTTTTTACTTAGCCTTATTTTTAATAATTTTTTTAAGGCGCCTTTTTTTATTTTTAACAGCCTTATTAATTTTTCTTTTTTTATTTTTAGCAGCCTTTAGGCATTTCTTCTTATTATTAACTGCTTTTTTAGCCTTTTAATCCGCCTTTTTAGCCTTCTTGTTAGTAATTTTTTTAAGGTACTTTTTTTTTATTCTTAACAGCCTTCTTAGCGCGTTTTTTATTTTTTTTAATAGCCTTTAAGCAGCACCACTTCTTTGCCTTTTTTTTATATTTTTTTTTTTTCTTATATTTATTAGCCTTTTTATATTTTTTTTTTTTAACGCGCTTAAGCGCCGCGGTAACCTTTTTTTTTTTTTTTTTTATTTTACTTAAACCTTAATAATATTTACACGCTTAAAAACATAGCCAAGGCGTAAGAATTTACATTACTTAATCTTTTTTTTACTAAGCTTTTTTTAGTATTAAAGGCTATTTTAAAACTAATAGCCGTGGTTATAAATTAGGAAAAGATTATAATTTTTAGCCTTTTATTAATTTATAATTTTATTTATAATATAGGCCTGCGTTGCGGGGGAACTTATAAGTAATATACTAAGCTAGTATATTATATTTTTATAATTATTTAAAGGCTGCTTATATTAAAAGTTAGGTATAAAGTTAGGTATAAAGTTAGCGGGTATTATAATTTTTTAATTAAGCCACTTTTATTTTTTTTTTCTGCCTAATCCTAGCTTTATTATATATAATTTTTAGCTTAATTAGCTAGATCCCCGCAGTCTTAAAAGTAAATTAAATATTATTTATAAATATAGCCTTTTTCCTGGCCTTTTAAAAAATTTTTAAGAACTTTTATTAAGTAATATTATATTAGTTAATTTATAACTTTTAATATATTTTTTAAGTATACTAGGTAAATAAAGGGCTAAATATACTAATATTAAGTAGTTAAAAAAAATAAGTAATATAAAAAGGTAAATAAACTAGTATAATGCCATAATCCCAGTAAGTAAAAAAAAATTTAAAGTTAATATAAAATATATGGTTATTAAATAGCAAGATGCATAAAAAAGATTTAATATATTTATTATATTAAGTATAAATAACGCAAGAACTCTGTAAAATAAAAATATTATATAATTAGTTAAGGGCTAGCTTTAAAATATTATATTTTTTTTAAATTATAAAAAGCGCCTTTTTATTTAAAGTAAATATTATTAGCTAGTTTAAATTAACTTCCTTGCCTTTAAAAATAATTATTAAAAATAAATACCGGCTAAAAGGTAAGTAATACTTAATAATAAATATTTAGTTATTATCTTAAGAACTAACTATAGTAAATTCTTTGTGGTTTTTTATAAACTATATAAAAAAAATTACATGCTAATAGCTAGAAAAAATACTATATATAAAGCCTTTTTTATTTATATTTTATATATTTTTATAATTAACTTTGTATTTAGCCTTAACGCGTTTAAATAGCTTAATAAAATACTTAAGGATCTTAAAATTAGCCTAGTAAAAATACTTATATTTTAGCTTTTTATTTTATATAATAATAAACTTTTTATTTTTTTACAGGAAGGCTTTATGTGAAAACCTTGAGTAGGCTAACCAGGTACAAAACAAAGTACTAAGAGGGCTATTTAATAAGGGATTAATATTAAGTCTTAAGGCCTAGGATATATAAAAACTAATTCTTAGCTAATTATTCTTTGCTAGGGTGTTAGCCTTAAATATACCATTAAAATAATGGTAATATTATTGCTGCGTGTTGGATTAATATTACTATAACTTTTATTTTATTAATTTTCTTATTTTATTAGGGCTTGGCACCCGTGGGTGTAATAACTTAGCCCTTTTTTAATTAAAATTAACCTAATTTTTAAATAGCTTTAATTTTTATAATAAATATATTTTACTATTATTTTACTTTGGTTTCGCGTCCGATTGTCTGGTTTTTTTATTTAAAAT